TGTTAAATTATATATTAAACAGCTTTCTGCCCCTTAAACATTTCCATGTGGATAGGTAATGTATGTGTAGCTTTTAAGCTGTCATGGGAAAGCACACAATTCCGTGGGCACAAGAAGCTTACAGGTTGGTATGGGTAGCAAAGCATTGCCAATTTTAATTCTGAATTTTTTAGCTATTTTATCATATTTTACCATTTTTGCATCATTTCTGTTAGGAAAAATAGATTTTTGCATGACAATAATGTATTAGAGTTATAGCAATGTATATCCCCTATTTTGTAAAGTTGTACCATACATTTGTAGAACAAGCGTATTAAACTTGTTTTAACCTGAGCTGGCAGAGGCAGATGGAAAGAGAATTAATCTGATTTTGGAATGAGCTGTTCCAATCTTATCAGAGGTGCTCTAACATAGAGGTCTCCAACCTTTCCGTGCTCATGGCTCAGAGGGAAGGAGAGCACCGCCCCGGCACTAGCAGCCCCATTTGTGTATGTGCAAACGGGCCACACACACCCACCTGGCGCTAGCCAGTCCCATTTGCGCATGTGCAAACGGGCCGCACAGACTCACCCCTGCTAATGGTCCCATTTGTGCATGCACAAACAGGCCACGGGCTGTAGTATGAGTGGGGGGGAGTGCACGCGTATGCGTGCTTGCATCATCAGCCATTGTCACAGCCCGCTGGCCAAGAGGCCGCAGCCCAGTAATGGATCGTAGCCCATAGGTTGGGGACCTCTGCTCTAACATACAAATGGCCTGTTCTGATTTTAGCAAAATAGACTTTTAAGGTTGAGATAGATTATTCTGTTGTTGGAACATATCTGGAAAAGTTGAAACAGCTGAAGTCAAGATGTTTTGATCATTAAATATTTTGTGTTTTATATATTTCTGATTTGGAGGAGAAGAATCATATTAGCAGTCTGGTAGCTCCTTTTCTAACACATTTTATGAAAAGATATAAACTAAAAATCTGCAGTTCGTGAAAGCTTATGCCTTTTAATAAAATTTGTTAGATGGTAAAGGCGCTGCCAGACTTCTAATTTTTTCCAAGGTCTGTAATTAATTACGCCATTTTCCTCATTTCTTTGAAACAAATTTAAGGAAGGCCAGCATGTATTTTTCAGAGAGACAACAATAATTGTGAAGTCATCTCTTTTTAAAACCTTTGGCCCATGATTTTCATCGATTAACCTATACTGAGCTAATGCCGGTAGTCACTTGATTTCATAATATGGTTAAAAGTTAACTGTTGATTACTATCCCCCTTCCTTTTTTTGTAGCATCCTCTAATGGTGGTAGGAATGACCTTAGGAGATAGGTGGAAGAGCCATAAACTAGACAGACAAGGGTAGCTTAGTCCACAAAAAGAATGTGGGTATAGCAAACATCTCAGAAGGGAACCTAGGCATTTTTTGGACTGTAAAGATGAGGAGGGAGAGAGGTCCTTTTACGCTAGCAGGATTCCGTTAATTAAACTTACACTAAAATTAGAACTACTACTTCTAGGCGTGCTTCTTGTCTGGACTGCCTCATAAGGCTGACATATCTCCTCTTTTCTTTACTAACATGGTGCATTTGCCCTGGCTTAAAAATCTAACCTGGGTTTTCTCCTAATGAGAATTTTAAACCAACGTAATTTCAAATTCTGATTAAGAATTAAACCTGCTAAACCTTCAGTACTGGTACCCTTAGGAAAATGTAGTATTTAATCACCATTAAGAGAGATGCTATGCCTTCCTGTTTAAATAGGTGAAAGCAAGAGGCTGACTATGTGTCAACTCAGCATCTAAGAAGGATGATCAGAGCTGATTAATACTTGCATGGGATAAATTGATATCAAAATCATTGCTCCTTTCACTGTGATCATGTATTCTAAAAATCTCCAAGAATGCATTGCAGAATGCAACAATCCTTGGTTTTCACTCAGATTGAATCTGACTTATAACAAAAATCTGATTGATCATTAATACCAGCTCAGCTAGCCAAAAATGAAATAATTGAGTCTTGGAAATAGTAGAAGAGCAGGAAGGTAGAATTTATTTTCCTGCTTTTGGGATCTTTGTGCCTGATGGGCACAGTCACAGAAAAGCACAGTATGACAATTGAATACATTTAGTGATCATTGATACAGTTCCCTCTTTAATATATTCCTTAACTTCACTACAACTAGTTATAGATGTACATTGTTCATGAACACAAATTTTCAACAAATGTATACACTTTTTAGACTGAGCATTCAACTTAAGTTTATGAGGCTTATTTATTATTTTATTAAATTTATTTGCTGCTCATCTCATATTGAAATGACTCTGGGTGGCAATTATTAGCCATTGTGGTCACTAGAAAGCTTCATTTGCTGGAGAAATTTTCAAAGAACTATCCTTTCAACCATGGATCCTCCCTGATTCAACCAATCACTGGTTTCTGAATATCCAAAGCACCCATCTGGCAGAAAAAAATAAAGAAATCCCTTTTAAAGTCTGCTATTTCTTCAGGGAAAGGAATAAAGTCCCATAATTTAATATCTGTAGGCAAGATGGGCAACATACAAATCTAAATAAATAATAAATACTCAATAGGAAGATGAGGTTTTCTTCCCAAATGATTTCCTGTAAATTGAGATAGGGATTCTCTTACATTTGTCGAAAAGGATAAAATGAACAATAAAATGGAAATGCTTCTCAATTCTCAAATGTGTGGATTTCAGCTTCCATGCTGGCTGGGGAATTCTGACAGTTGAAGTTGACACATCTTAAAGGCCTTGCAATTGAGAAACAGTTTCAGATTAGACTGAAGATCAACTGCTTCAGGGATAGTTGACCTGGAAAATTTAACTTTTTTGTAATTTTTAATACAGGGTTCATTCTTCTAAGATGCACACATGTGATGGAATGGCTGAACCCATAGATAATTCAAATTTGAATCACTGATTTTGACATGGGTGTTGTAATCAGTCATGATGAAAAACCATGGGGGTATTACTACAAGCATTTGGTGGAATTTATATTTATGAATTCTTACCCATTGCTACCAAATACTGTAGGTAGTGGTAATATTATGCTATGACCTGAGAGTTTGTATATTAAGCAACTAATGCAATTTTAATTGACTACTATGTAATTGGTATTTTGCATTAATTCATGCACTGCTCTGAAAAAAGGATAATTGCTAGTCTGCAATTATTTGTTGTGGTTCTTGCTGGGAACTATCACTGAATTGGTGGAGGGAATCCAGGATTTGAAAAAAGAATTTTCACAATATATATGATACTTTATTAATATTTTGAATGCTATTTAACCAGCCTCGCCAATCACTTTAAGAATTATGTTTGGTTTCTTGATGTAGTATATAGATCAGGTCTGTATTTTTCATTGTTCTGAAAATATCGTCTTAAGCTATTTGAGTTAAAAAAAAAAACAGAATTATTGAGCGGCCTCAAACCTGATATATACAAAGGTTATTTGAATGAACAGTTCTATCTTTTGTTCTTATGTTTTTTTTTTCAGCTTCTAAGTTTGCAACAGCTAAACTAAAATGTTTAAATTACATATATTTTCATCTGACAAGATTAATCATTTTATGCATATTTTAATGCAGCAAGATTGTTATTTGCTGATAAATATAAAATCTGCACCTTAGGTTGATATAGTGTGATTATGTATGATTATGTGGAAAAAACTACTTGTCTGATTTTTTTAATATTCAGGTTTAGAGTGGCCTGAAATACAGCAATTTTCTTCAGCTATTTTGAATAGTTGCTATGGAAGCATCATTTACAGTCAAGATAATTTATTTGTAGAGGCAGCCTTCTTGGTTTTTTACCTATTATCTTTTCATTCCCTTTCACTGGTACATTAAAAAGTGATTTGCGGGGATTTTTTAGAGTAAATTATAGGGAAATTAGCGATTATTTAAAAAAGGATGCTTCATTTGGGAGCACAAAGGTTACACTAAAATATATGAAGTGAATGATTGATTATACATTTGTATATATGCTTTTGTGAGCAATACATTGCTGTAATGTTAATAAAAAGTACTGTTTTTCCTCTAGATTTTACTAGCTAGGATACATAATTTGGATTTTATTAAGATCAAAAAATAAAGGAAAACTAGAACTCTTATAAATCTTTTTGGCTTGTTTGCTGGAGATAATTCAGATTTATCATTGATAAATAACCAGGATTGTTGACATTGCTTCTCCTAATCTGAGGAAGTTTTACTCAACCCAGAATATAGAATTAATTGCTAAATCATCTAAGTGACCTCATTTAGAAGCAAATACCTATGTTATCTTATGTAAGATAACCTTTATTGTCATTTTTTACTATGGGCACTCTGGCACACATTAAAAATGAAATTCTGTTGCCTGCTCTCAAAAGTATATACATACGTATCATACATATAAACATGCTATATACATGCATATGTATATACCTATATCCTTACATATAAATATTAATCACTGTCCATCTTGAATACATAGTGAAAAGAGGAAGCTTGAGAGTTTACAAGGTTGATACTGTATGGAACAAAACTGTGACTGAATCTGGATGTTCTGCTTCGGATCCTATATGTCCTGGATAGAAGGGACTGAACTGCCAATAATCTTTTCTGTCATCCTCACCACTCTTTGCACCGCCTTCTTGTCTGAAGCAGTAATGCTTCCAAACCAGACTGTAATGCAATATAATAGGATGCTCTCAATCGTCCCTCTATAGAAAGTGGTAAGGACAGGGGAAGGAAGATGTATTTTTCTCATGCAATGCAGAAAATGCAGGCACTGCTGTGCCCGCTTAACAGTGTCTCGCTGTTGAGCGACCAAGCCAGCCTACTTTTATAGATGGATTGCAGTATGTAATATTTTCAATATGTGTTTCATAATGTAAGACTTTAAGAATTTTATGCACTGTGATTTTAAGTAGATTTTACTGCTATATGGATTAAAATGTAGTGTATATTTATTAACTTGTTTTAATATCAGACATTTAATTTTACTACAGAGAACAAGGTTAAAGAGACGGCTGCAATGAAAGCAGATCATTTGAGGGCCAGAAACATGAAAAGATATATTAATCAACTAACAGTAGCAAAAAAACAATGTGAAAAACGCATACGACTTCTGGGAGGCCCTGCTTATGACCAACCAGAAGATGGTATTTTTGACGATAGTGAAGGTCCTCAGAGTCAAAAGGTAAGAAAACTTTGTTTGAGGTGGGATTGGCTGAGACATATGGAGTAGAGGGAATGAGTGAGTTGCCACGTGAAGAGTATTTGGGTTTTAATTTTAACAGCTAAGTAGTGATTGTACTATGCCTCCTCCCTATAATACTCAACAAAATTAGAAGCATTTAGACTGATTGGGGGAGTCAGCACTGCACTTTTTTTTCAACCAGCACTTATTCCAGTTTCTACTAAGCATGCAATTGCCACTGAAAAATGCTATGGCATGTATCCTTATGATGCAAACTTCCAGTAAGAGTGATCAATGTGAGAAAAGGTTGCCTTGTTATAGCTCATGCATTGTCTAAAAAAATAATCAGAAGGGACTTGTTTGTGTGCCTACAAACAGTTCAGAAGTTAAGCCTTTGCTGAACATTTTTGCCATGACTCTCAAGAGACATATTAGTGTGTGCAGTAGAGCTGCTTCAGAACTAGCACGTTTTCTAAAATGCATTGGAGAACAGAATAGAAGGCCTGCCTAAAATTATCTGGAGAACAACAGAGACAGAGGTTCATTTTTCTAAAAACTGTTCTGTTTTTTTCTTTACTAATTTTTTTCTGGGGGAATGAAAAGTGTTGGTGGAACCAGTCAGAAGAAAAAGTACACTTATTTGGAGGCCCTAAATCAGTTAAGAAGGCAAGATGGATGGGAGAAATGGCATTTGTAGAATTTGAAGGATACAGCAACAATAGCATTAGGCTTATATATACTGTAGTCCCTCACCACCACCACCACAACCATTGTGCTTTACAGCACTCTCTGGATAGTTTATAGTGTTGAAGCATTATTTTTGCTTCAACAGTCTGGGTCTTCATTTTACTGACCTCAGAAGGATGGAAAGCGGAGTCAACCTTGAGCCCTGTCAGGATCAAACTCCAAGATGTGGGCAGAATTTGCCTGCAATACTGCACTTTAACCACTGTACCACCAGGGCTCTTCCCAAAGAAATGGTGCTATCTTTTCGTCTTTATGTTGCATCTAAAACATGAAAGATTGCTATATTTGGGGGGGGGGGAATCCAAAATTTGAGATGGGGAAAAAAGATGTTGCTCTATTGCAGGGCTTTCCAACCAGTGGTACGGGTACCACCTGTGGTACATTGGCACCTGGCAGGTGGTACGTGACCATCCTAGAAAAGTGGTAGCAGGGGAGGGGAATGAGCTGAACCGGTGGCAGCACCGCACAAGCCTGAGCAAGAGATGGCTGAAGCTGCAGGGCTGCCAGGGCTCAGCGGAAGCACTAGGATCAGCACTTCTTCGGGGCTGTCAGGGCTCAGTGGAAGCACCAGGATCAGCGCCAGGCTCCAGCTGGAGCTCGGCGTTGATCCTGGCGCTTCTGCTGAGCCCAGAAGAAGTGCCGATCAACTGGAATGTTGCAGCATCTTCAGGCTCTGTGATTTACATTCAGATGCTTGGCAACTGATTCATATTTATGATGCTCACAATGTCCCAGGGATGTGAAGACGGGGGGAATAAAAACCAAACACCCCCCACCCCACCCCTGCTGCCAATCCTCAACAGAAATGCTCACAACAATGAAAACCTCAGACAGGAGGAAGAGCACCACCGGGTGGGCAGGCAGGTGTCTTGCTCGGCTATGGCTTGGGGGGCACTTTTTCAGTGCCATTGTGACTTTGAACAGTCACTAAGTGAACTGTTGTAAGTCAAGGACTACCTGTACTTTATCACTTTTTTCCTTTTTTGGGGGGGGGGTCATCAAGTTTTTGACACCTTGCTAAGCGATTGATGGTACTCAGATATTGCCATATCCTAAAAGTGGTACGGTGGGTGAAAAGGTTGAAAAGCCCTGGTCTATTGAAAAAAAAGCATGGAAATGGCATATCGAAGCCAAGATTCCAGAATCAGTTTCTATACATATAGGGACTTCTGTAGTTACCTAAAAGTTAAGAAATTCAGAGGTGTAAAAATCTAAGATTCTAACTTCAGGAACTGAAATAAATGTTTTAGTTTATAGACAAAGGTTTGCCATTTTTTCTTGCCACTGATGCTTATACTTTCTTTGGGGCTTAATAGTGATGTTACTGCACATTGAATTTCATTCTTTTAGAGCTTGGTGCATATTACATTTCAAGGTTTTCCAGGCTTTTTCAAGATTGAGAAAAGGTTGGAAGAATTAAGTTCACATTGTCTTTGAAAACTAATTGGGAGGTCTTGCTTCTTTCCTGATGCTTGACAGCATGGGGGCAGGGAAATGTAGGAAACTCTTTTTATTTTGTGCCTTTGAGCTGGTATTGACTTCTGGTGATTGTCTAGACCAGTGGTGGCGAACCTATGGCACGGGTGCCAGAGGCGGCACTCAGAGCCATCTCTGTGGGCATGTCCGCCATCGCCCCAGTCCTAGGCCTTCAGCTGGGTTTTATAAAACCTTTTCGCTTTAAGCCTCCGCCGCCATGTGCAAAAAAAAAAAAAAAAAAAAGAAGGTTCAATCAATCAGTCAATTCTCGTGGGGGGAAAAAAGATCTTGCAAAGTTGGAATTGATTGATTGAACTTTTTAGTCCCACCCAGTCTGCCGTTACCACTGCAGCCATGCCCACCCAATGGGCCATACCCTCCCAATGGGTCACACCCACCCAGCACCCGACAATGCATAAGTGGGTTTGGGGTTGCAGTTTGGGCACTTGGTCTTTAAAAGGTTCGCCATCACTGGTCTAGACTAGTTCCTGCTGTTTTGTTGGCAAGATTTTTCAGAAATGGGTTGCCATTGCCTCCTTCATAGGGCTGAGAGAAAGTTACTGGCCCAAAGTCACCCAGCTACCTTTATGCCCAAGGTGGGACTAGAATTTACCATCTCTTGAATTCTAGCCTGGTGCTAGAATACTAAATTGGCTCTCTGTAGGAAACTCTGCAGACTAAAAATGCAGATACCAATTTTTAAAGGTATGTTTTTGACTCTTGCAGTTCATTTCCAGGTAAAACCATTGCTGGCTTTTCTACCTTGGGGAGGGTTTTGTACTTGGTGCAACTCAAGAAATGTCAGTCATATACCGAGCATATTCAAGGCAAGCATGCAAATGTTATGATCCAGGTTGCCTAGGCAGAGGCAGGCATCCTTTATTGCTCTGATTAAATGCCACAACAAGGGCCCTACAGTGGCCAGTAAGGCTCCACTCTACACTACCCAGAAGGCAGCCACCCTCAGTCCCGCCAAGCCAGAAAACAACAAAGAAAGTCCAAAAAGAAGGTGCGAACTCATGGGGCAATGTCCAGAGTCCAGGTATAAAGGGCGAGCCAAGTCCACAGAGTAAAGCAAGTCCGAAGGCAGTCTGCAAGTCAAAGCTGGAGGAGTTAAGCCAAAACAAACAAATAAACCCTCACCCCCCCCATCCCCACTTCTCTTTAAATCAATCCACGCCAGGTGTTCCTTGTGGGTGGAGCAATCTTCTCCCAAGTAGCATTGCAACCCTCCTTTGAGCTTGCCTCTGCTCTACTCTCCATGCCCTTGGATTGAATGGGGGAGGCAGCTGTTCCTCATCAGCAGGGATCTGCTGCCTATCAACCTCACTGCCTGTCTGCAGCTGATCCTCCCCTGTATCTGTGAGGGCAGTCAGCTCTATGCCCTGTCAGCCACCTCCCCCAATGCCTGAGGGACCTGGGATAGCATCATCCTCAGCCCCTGGCCTCTCCAAACATTCCAAGGGAGACGTGCCATGCCCATTGGACTGTCCTGGTTCCAACTCCTACTCCAAACCACACTCTGACGGGGCGATGACAGCAAGCCTTCCAGAGGACATGGCTACTTTAATGCTTTAAGGAAATTATTCATTCATACCACAGTGAAAGGGCATAGTGCCCCTTTCACATGTTTCCAGAGTCCTTTCAAATTTAATTTGTTAGATAGCAGGTCTTAACGAATTCAGTGACATTTATGAAGAAATGTGACCAAAACTGTCATATTGCTAGTAGTGCAGTTTGTGCCACATTGTCCATGTAGCACTATTTGAAACATCAAAGAAAATGGAAATACTCTGCATGCTATGTCTTATATCAGTAGTTCTCAACCTTTCTAATGCTGCGACCCCATAATACAGTTCCCCATGTTGTGGTGACCCCCAACCACTTATACATCACTGGGTGCCAGAGGCGTGGCCAAAGAAAAGGGGAAAAAATGGTGGACAGCCTTGTTTGGCGACCCCCGTGAAATGGTTGTTCGACCCCAAATGGGGTCCCGACCCACAGGTTGAGAACCACTGTCTTATATCATCAGACTTCAATATATGAATAAATTGCACATTTTAAGACACAAAGAAGATAAAACTCATATCCTAAAGGACATTAAGCTTATGCTCATGCCACAACTATTAGGATTTAATCTATGAGATACTATTTCAAAAATGGGCATTATTTGTGTAGAATATCTAATTTGAGAGTAATATAACTAGCCTGTCAATTATGACTGCAATCTTTTTACACCTCCCCACAGCATGTATGGGGAACTACAACATTATCTTCCTATTTTTTGAATGTTTATATTATTGTATTCTTACTAAAATTGGAAAAAAAAACTGAAATGCAACTACTTATACTATCAGAGCTACTAATCAAAAGAACATGAACTTGTTGACATATGCAGATTCTCACATACACTATAAGGAGCTCTTTTGGATTGAAGGGAATATGGCATGTTTTTAGAAGAATGTTGAGCTTATAGGGTAGGGTATTATGAAATCTGTAAGACACAAAAAAGCTTTCGGGATCTTCAACAAATTCTTACTGCTCCTTGCAGCCTTAAGTAAGTAATGGCATGTGGGTTTATTCCACATAATAGAGATTGTAATCAGTTGGCTTGCTTATAAATAGTTAATTGTCATAATGTTATTCATTCCTACCTCTCAGATACTTCAGTTTGAAGATATATTGTGTAATCCATCCTACAGAGAGCACTTTCAAATATACATGGAAAGAATGGATAAGAGGGTTCTGATCAGCTATTGGGAATCTGTAGAATACTTGAAGAATGCTAATAAGGTACATGAATAAGTATGACAAGTGTGGTTACTGAAAATTAGTCTTTATTGTGGCAAAATTTAGTTTGTAAGTGTTGCACCAAAATACTTAAAGGCCTTTCCCGTTGTAGAATTTGTGCTATATTTGAACTGGCAAAAATTCAAAACAGGCATGAACTGTTGGTATCCTCATTGTCAATCTCTATCGTATCTATTTCCCTGTTTCAATTTCCTACAGTGACTTCTCTCCAAGCAAATAGGTGACAGATGGCCTAGCAGATTTTGTATCCTTGTGCTGCTGTTGGATCATGTTGGAATAAGAGAGAAAACACTACAAGCCCATTTGAGAACAACTTAAAGTATCTCATCCTTGGGCTGTATGATGGCAACAATGTGGGGATATGGCAGAAAAACAGCGCTGCCAGAACATGTTGGTGCCATGTTTATATGTAAAGGGGAAAAGGCCCTTTAGGTTTTTTTAATGCAGCTCATAAATGGCAGTTGCTTTAGTACATAAATCATTTCTTTGATGGGATGACATATGGGACAGATCTCAGACTCTCAATTATCATATGAAAAGAAGAGAGAATTAAGAAAATAAGGTACTGAAAATGTAAGCTATGGTATCTGAGGGTTGAATCATGAATGTTAATGGAGGCTGGAATTCAAGTCAAAAATTTTATATTTGCATCTTTTTTGTTCCTTATTACGTTTTGATTCTAAAACAGAGAACTGAGTTGTGTTTTATGAATACTATTTTACTGTTTAATTTAAATTAACCTCATTATGATCATCCTCCTAACCTGATGCCTCCAGATGTGTAGCATATGTACCTCGTACAATTCTCAGCCAGCATGTCAGCATATCTGTACTGTAACTGGTTAGGGAAGGCTGTTAATATCTTTCCTTCCTACACAGTCTGCAGTGAATGCCTGACATTCATCCAATTTTTCAAAAAATAATAACAGGAAAATTGTTCACCATATTTGGGTATCAATTTTTCAGTGGAAAATTTGATTTTGTTTTATGAACTCTCTAGTGTATCATCTGTAATCTTTTGTTTATTCGTATATTTTGCTGTGAATTTGATATTGTCATTTACGCTTCTATTAAATTTATTCGTGATATTCCCTATGTTCCAGTTCCTACTTCTTACAATAACTTTGTAAGATTGATTGAGTTAAGAGACAGTGATTTGAATATGGAATTCAACACTCTGAGATTGTTTTCCATTGTGGTGCTTTTAGGGACACTGCACTATTTGAGGACACAGGTTGATGAAGAACAGTCAAACCGCCAAATCTACAAATGATACAATTTTATTCAAATACAAGTATATTAAATTGGGACTCTTCTTCAGAAAATTGAATTAGGGTAATCAGATCCAGAATCAGTATTTGGCAATCATCAAAGCAGCTAAGAATATTCAGTTTGTAGTTCTACGTGTAGGCAATAATGATAGCACATATTTTGGTTTATTTCATTATCTGCTGTTTCTTGACCATTCTCACCCACTGAAAAATTTTGGAGAACCTCAATATTTTGAGCCTATTCTTTCATTTTGGTTGTATCTAGTGAAGTTGTTTAGCTGTGGAATTTTATTTTCTCATGTAATAGCATAACTGTTTTTTTGATCATTGGGTTGGAGGAGGAATTGTCAGTATAATGTTAAATTGTCAAATTAAAACAATATTGTATTGTGGTTCTCAGCTGGCACAAACATTTAACAATTGCTGATGATTATGGATGTTTTTCTTTCTTCACAGGCTGAAATACCTCAACTTGTGAGTCAAATCTATCAGGATTTTTTTGTGGAAAGCAGAGAAATTCCTGTGGAAAAAATACTCTACAAAGAGATACAACAGAGTCTTGTGGGTAACAAGGGCATTGAGGTATTTTATAAAATTCAGGCTGATGTTTATGAAACACTGAAAGACAGATACTATCCATCATTCATTGTCAGTGATTTATATGAGAGGCTGATCAAGAAAGAAGAGAGGAGTCCTGTCCAGATGGCATCTGACGACAAAGATGATGTGAGTTGTGCCTACAAATGCCTGTCTGCTTTTTTCCCCCTTTGTCCAGGTAGCTCTTTCCTTTACTAGTATCCCTTACTGTATTTCAGAAACTTTCAGGTATCTTAGACTATTTTCCAATTACCTTTTTCTCTTTTAGAGCTGTAATTGTTGTGAAATTACTAACATCTTTTATCTTCAACACCAAGACCTGTTCTGCTTTAATTTTCTTTAAAGTCCCAAAACTCCACTTCTAAATGGTCTCATTATGCCAATGAGACTGTTTTCTGAAATCCAATAGCATGAATTCACAGATACTTTTTGAGGAAGGAAGTTTTATGGAAAACAAATTAGGAAATTCTTGGAAGAACCATGCCTGGGAGAGCTTTTCTGAAAAGATGACGATAGTTTTCTGTCTGATTTATATGTATCTTTTAAAGTGAAATAACCTGTTTCCTTATGATTGCCCTTAACTTTTTTCCTAGAAATTTATTTTTTAAAATAAAATATGATACATTGGTCTTTGATGGCCCTGTTTAAGGTAACTTGCTCTCTGGAGGGAGGGGGGATAAGTGATAGGAACATCTTTTGACCATTGTGAGGATTATTCTTGCTATTTGACTGTTAAAGTGGTTCAGATTCACTTGAAGTTGACTTCCAACTGGACAATTCCAACAGGGATACTTGGGGTAGTTTTATAAAGTTACCTGGAATGTATTTTTGCCTGTGATTCCTAATCAAGTGGGCAGGGTCCTCCAATCTGTGAGCTCAACCATCTGTTTGTTAAATCCATGTCCCCACCTCCCCCCATTGATCAAGGCTTTCTGAGAGGTGACCTGCCATTGGGTCCATGTAGTGATAACTGCATGGAAGGGATTTTCTTTGCAGTCTTGAAGGTACACCCTCTCCTCAAGAGGCCATCACTGAATCCAACAATTCTGGACAATTTCCATCCACTCTTGAATCATCCTTTATAGGAAAGTTTGTTGAGAATGGGGTTGGGCTTCAGTTCCAGAGCAGACTGATTATCTGGACCCATTTCATTTGGCTTTCAGGCCAAATCACATTATTCAATCAGCATTGGACACTCTTGTGGATGACCATTGGTGTAGCCGGAATTGGGATAAGTATGCCTTTCCTCATGCTCCTTGAGTTCTCAATGACTTTTAATACTATCAATCACAGTATCCTTCTGGAGTGGCTTGAGATTTGGGGAGGAGATCACTGTTTTACATTGGTCCTCTTCTTTTTCTATGGCCAGTTTCAGTCAGGGCTAAAGGTGATGGGGTAGAAAGGCCCATTCATTTATTGGTTTCTGCAGGGCTTGATAGGTGTTGCTGCTTCCATTTAACATCCTCATGAAACTGCTGGGTGAGGTTATCTGATGGTTAGGATCATGTATTATCAGTATATGATGATTCCAAACTATGCTTCTTGGTTCTGTGTCAGTGAAGTGATGCTATGTCAGTCAAGTGCTTGTCCCAGTTTCTGGAGACTGTGTTGGTTTGAATGGGAGGCCAGACTCTGGCTAAATCATGAGAAGACTGCATGACTACAAATATTTGGGGGCCCTGCCTGTGGAGAAATGTCCTTTCTGGTCTGGGATGGGGTTGTACTTCACCATACGAGACTAGTGTACAACCAGCAGGTGGCAGCTGTGATCAAAATGGCTTAGGGTGGCAGTGGCCTTTGTTTGATCAAGAAGCTCTTCAGACCATCACTTGTGCCCTAGTGTTACCTCATGAATGGGTTACCATAACACAATTTACATGGGGTTGCCCTTTTTTCTTTTTGTATATATTATTTCTATGGCCTTTCGTGATTCCTTTTTGTGTATTTTTAAAAAATTGTAATTGTAAGCCACCAAACGTATTGGATATGAGGCAGTCTATAAATTGTAAAAATAAATAAAAAGATTTTTTTCTTATCTTCTTGATGCTTTCAGTTATGACTAATCTGATAGTAAAGTTCCCAGCTAGCCTATTATTACACTTGCATTAGCGCAGGCACAATAGAATGTTCATGCACGTTTCCCAGTCAAATTCTTTAGTACATGGCATTTATCATAATTAGAAGTTGTATGAACTCCTGATTTTAGAAACCATGTTCCAAAATGAGAATAGAATGAGCAAATATTGTCCAGTTGAGTATTCTAGTATTGCAATTCTATATATAAGACATGTGACTTGTATTAAAGTATTAAAGATGTAGGAATATAATATATAAAACATTTGAGTGTTCTACAGCATTTTGAAAACAAATGCACTTTCTATTGATTTTGAGAACAAAATGAGAACTAAAATTTTATGACACTTCTGGTGAAAATGCTTTGATTCTCTTGGCCAAGGACTTCTGTATTTGAGGAGAAACATAAGCAAAGTTATGGCAAAGGACTTGTCATATACAGTTACAAGGCTGTAAATCCTAAATATGTTTTTCATCTGTGAATATAAAAAGAATATTGATGAATAGTTTTGTAAATATTATGGGTGTTTTTATGTATTAATATTTTCGCTCTCTGCTCAGAAACTAAACATACCAAAGCAAACTTGCCTGAATTGGCACACTTTCATCAAGTCAAAGAGATTTAAATCAAAATCTCATTTTAGTTTCATATCTTCATTATTAGTTTGCACTTGCTGTTCTTTGCATAATAATATGCCGGGCATCAATGAAACTCTTTTAGTAATCTGCATTACTTGATAATGAATTCTGTTTTTCCTAGAGACAAGTTTGTGAAGAAGTTATTGATGGAGAAAGCTCAGAAATTAATGAGCAGGCCAGTTATGCTGTAAATAAACTACGCCTATTAAATGACAAACTTGAATATAAGAGACAAGCTCTAAATTCTCTCTGTAGTTCACCAAAACCTGACAAAAAGGTAGATGGCTAATTTTTTTAAAGCGTATCAATCAATGTATTTTAGACTAATAGGTAGTTTTGCTTAAGAGGTCTTTCCTTCAAAGGTAAATTTAAGTGTTGCTGTCCTGTTTTCTCATTTACTATTGACTATATATTACTGCCTTTGTAAAGATCTTAAAACATGTATGGAATCCATTCAATATCAGTATTTCCTGAGGTAGGTGCGGTAATTATTTCTATACTGATGTCTGTTTTATATTTATTGGTCTCCAAATCCTGATTCCTAGCCTGAACTCCTCTTACAAAATACCAGTGGCTGAGTCTGGGAATATTGTATGTCTAAAGCTTCAGAAGCCCTTTTTTCAAAGACCAAGTTGGGAAATAGTTTTGGAACATGAAGATCCAAGATTTTTGTTTATGTTACAAAGCCAGATTTCATTATTTGCTATTTGGTTCTGTTCTGCACTGGACAAAAGAGAGAAAATTGAATCAAAGCCTATGGAGTGCACATGTGTATTCTTTCTTTCACTCTGGTCATATTGTCTCTGATTATAAAGATATGAAATGACATATCTGCCATTGGCAAAATCGGTTGCCTTGATATCTAATTCTAAGCCAGGTACCTTATTTGAGAGCGTGTATGCAATTTCTTGTTATTTTCTTTCCACATTTTAACTATTTGCCTTGCTCCTTTGTGGGTTGGAAATGGACTTAGAACAGTGTTTCTCAACCTTGACAATTTTAAGGCATGTGGACTTCAACTCCCAGAATTCCACAGCCAGCATTGCTGGCTGTAGAATTCTGGAAGTTGAAGTCCACATGCCTTAAAATTGCCAAGGTTGAGAAACACTGACTTAGAACATAAAAACAAACCAGGAATAAAATAGACCAAAACAATCTGGGATTATAAACAAGTTTCAATCCCTGGATAAAGAGTGAATTGTTGCTCATATTGGTGTTTCTCGATTTCAGCAAATTTAAGATGTGTATGATGATGATGATGATGATGATGATGATGATAATAATAATAATACTTCAGAATTCAAACAGATAAGCACCTGCAACATAACACCCTAGACTTAACAATTGTCGATAAGAAAGACAAAAAAGTCTGGATAGTGGACGTGGCAGTGCCTGGAGACAGCAGAATAGACGAGAAAGAACTGGAGAAGATAACAAAATACAAAGACCTACAAATAGAAATAGAAAGACTGTGGCAAAAGCAATCAAGGGTAGTACCAATAGTCATAGGCTCCTTGGGCGCAATCCCAAAACAACTGGAGCACCACTTGAACACCATTGGCATTGACAAATTTGCTATTAGTCAATTGCAAAAGGCGGCCTTACTAGGAACTGCTTCCATCCTGCGACGATATCTGTAATACCATCAAACATCCACATCTGCTATCCCAGGTCCTGGGTAAGGACTCGATAGGTAGACAAAATGCCAAATCCAGTCTGAACATCTGGCTGACTGTGCAATGATCCATAATAATAATAATAAAGTTGGAAGGGAACTTGGAGGTCATCAAGTCCAACCCCCTGCTCAGGCAGGTAACCCTATACCATTTCGGACAAATGGCTGTCCAGTTTCTTCTTAAAAACTTCCAGTGTTGGAACATTCACTGCTTCTGGAGGCAGGTTGTTCCACTGGTTAATTGTTCTAACTGTCAGGAAGTTTCTCCTTAGTTCTAGGTTGCTTCTCTCATTGATTAGTTTCCACCCATTGCTTCTTGTCCTGCCTTCAGGCGCTTTGGAAAATAGCTTAATTCCCTATTCTTTATGGCAGCCCCTGAGATATTGGAATACTGCTATCATGTCCCCCCTTGTCCTTCTCTTCGTTAAACTAGACATACCCAATTCTCGCAACCGTTCCTTATATGTTTTAGCCTCCAGTCCCCTAATCATCTTTTTTGCTCTTCTCTGTACTCTTTCTAGAGTCTCAACATCTTTTTTACATCGTGGTGACCAAAACTGGATGCAGTATTCCAAGTGTGGCCTTACCAAGGCATTGTAAAATGGTATTAATACTTCACGTGATCTTGATTCTATCCCTCTGTTAATGCAGGCTAATACTGTGTTGGCCTTTTTGGCAGCTGCAGCACACTGCTGGCTCATATTTAAATGATTGTCCACTAGGACTCCTAGTGAACTTATGCTGGCTAGGGAATCAAAGGAGTTGAAGTCATATAAAGTTGCTGAGGTTGACTAACATTACTTTAAATAAATTGGTTTGTTGAGAACTGCTACTGATCAATATCAGTTTAAGGCTTAACACTGATATCTAAATCAACTGCAGATGTTTTTCCTTTGGCAGATTGTTTCTAAATTGAAAGATGAAATCAGTCTGATGGAGCGAGAACATAGTGACCTTCAATTGCATATTGAAAGAACAGATTACTGGTGTGAAAATCTTGGCATGTGGAAAGCCTTCATTAATACTGGAGAGGTATGGCATGTTCTTTCATTTTTTTGTTGCTGTTGCTCCTGGCTGCTGTTGTTGTTAAATGAATGGAGTTTTGCTAGTCAAATGTTTACTTCAGAGGTCTCTAAGAATGAGGTACAGGTAGGGGATGTTTCATGGTTTAGAAATAACAAGCCATAAAGAAGTAGAGCATGTCTACTGTGGTGTCATCAGGGGTAGATGAAGCTGCAATATTCTATTGTTTTATTGTTAAAACTTTGGGAAAGGCTACCGAAAACATGCACATAAGACTTGTATAGGACACCTACTTTGTTTCTTGAGTTGTGTGAAATGAGAGACAGAGAGCATACAAAGGCACAGCTTATCACTTATCCCAGCATTTGGATGTGTGTGCATACAGAGACAGTTGAAGCAGCTTCTGAAAATGCCACACAAGCATGGCTGCCAGAATGTTTCTAAGACAGGTGCTTCATATGTATTATCCCATTGTAAGGATCTCTTCTGAACAGTCTGCCAGTCCTAATGTAGTCTTTCTTTCTATATATATTTCATATCCAAAGCCAAATAGAAATATATTTGTTTCTTACCTTCAAAAGACAATTTAAATCTTCTGTATTTCTGTCATACATGGAAAACAAGCTTACTACCAAATCTGTTATGTGCAATAATTCTTGTGAAAATATAAACAAGTTAGTATAAATGATCTTTAAAGTAATGGTCTGTAGAATTAACATTATATAACTATTTTCCTAGGTCATTGAAGAAAATGGTGAACAAGTGCCCTATTATTCTGTTGTAGTGATATTACGGGAGATTGGCAGGGTTGAAGCGAAGGAGTGGACAGTTGTCCGAAAGCTCAATGAGTTTCAAAGTCTGCATCGGAAACTCAGTGAGGTACATTGAAATTGTGGAGAGAATTCTTGCTTACCTTGAGAGTTTTTTATTGAAATAGTTTAAATCTTGTTTAAATAATTTAAATAAAATAATAATTTTATTATGGAATGTTTTTAATGTTTGTTTGTTTTTTATAATCTGTTTTGTATTGTATGATGCCCAGAGTCACGTTTTGTGTGATGGGTGGCTGTATAAATGTGATGAATAAGTAAATCAGTAAATAAGTAGGTGAGTTTTTTTTGGGTGTAAGGGCACTGTATACTTTCATTTAATAAGGCAGGACTTGGGGGTTGCCCCAAGTGGAAAGATGCCATCACAATATTAGTGCCATTCACAAAGCTTCAGCAGAAGCAGATTATTGGCTAAGTTCTGCTTCTTGGCATGGAGCAAAATGGAGCAAAAACATTCTTTTGGCCCAGCCCACACAAAACTTATTTATGGGAATAGTAAGCAGATTTGGAAAATAGGATTTTTGTTCTTTTGGCTGACTGAAACTCAATTATTATTTTATTTTCCCCCCAGAATATATACAATTACTTGCTTAAAAATAGTACAAGTTATTACAAAAGCATTTTTATATCTCTGATCTGCATCATAACACTATGAAAAATGCTACTTTTTTTTCTCTTCAAACAAAAGCTCTGCGAGTTTATTCCATACAACCTATACACAAAATCTGATCTAATAGTCAAGGCAAATTGGCACCAGATAAGAGTCAATGGACTTCAAGGACTAGGTCTCTTATGGGGGCATAATGACTCTAAACTGATGATGCATTTGATCGCACCCTTGGGCACAACCAGGTCATCTCCTATTGGATGTATTCTGCTTTTGTCTTCACTGCTAGTGCTTTTTAAATTGTTAGAATTGATAGATCTGATCAATAGAATTGACTGTATTCTTAATTCATAAAATTGCCCAAAGTTATTGGTATAATCAATATTCATTTAAATAAAGGAAAAGCCATAAAGTCATGCTTGATCCTTGGGTATTACAGTATTTGGATATGATCATGTTATTTACTTGGTAGAAATATGGGAGTGTCTTCTGTGTTATTTCATTGATTTTTTAGTTAGGTATAGATTCATTTGGTAGGTCAATGGAAATATCTCTCTGTCTTTGTTCAGAATGTTAGTATTAGGGAGTTAGTTAATGTATCAAGAGTATTTTTATTTATTATTATTTATTCAATTTCTATAGCTGCCCAACTCAACCAAGTGACTCTAAGCAGCTTACAATTTTAAAATTATGAAACAATTAAAAAAATTAAAACAATAAAAACACCCACAAAATAAATAAATACAAACAGCAGCGTGATGATTAATAATCTAATAATAAAGCCAAGTAATGGAGGCCTTAACATATTCCAAGCCCCAAGAATATTCAGATTCTTTCATAACACATTGTGTTTCTGCAAAGTGATGGCTACTGCAAGTCTTGAGCTGGTGTACGTTTATTTCTGGAAGCATGGATATACTAAAAAGTAACATGTGGAGTAAGGTCCTTGGTGCTCTTTGTGTTTTCCAGCAGATGTTTCATTACTCAACTAGATAACATCTTCAACACTCAGAGGAGTGTGATTTGTTCTCTGTTTATATACAATAGCTTGCCCTGTAAGTGTTGGTGGGGTTGTTGTTTTCTCCTTGGTAGTCTTAATTAGTCTGTTCAATTGTTTGTCTGAATTGTTAGTTCCTTAATTAGGGCAATTTCCTAGTATTTTGGGATTTACTTTGGTCTAGGGCAGGGGTAGGCAACCTTGGCTCTTTTATGACTCGTGGACTTCAACTCCCAGAATTCCTGAGCCAGCATGGCTGGCTCAGGAATTCTGGGAGTTGAAGTCCACGAGTCATAAAAGAGCCACGGTTGCCTACCCCTGGTCTAGGGTATTCACCGTTTCCTGTTGAAACTATATAGTTATATCTGTCCATGTATTGTAAAATTAAAGACTTTTCATTGAGCCTTCCAAACTACTAGTTCGATGGATGTACTCTGCTAGTCATCTGCCTATCTGTCCTATGGTCTAGTACAGGGGTTTCAAACTGCCATCCTGCAGGCCAGTGTCATCATTCCAAAGCCGCGCCCACCCCATTGCCGGCAATGCAAAAAGAGTCATGATACATCGCGACATGTCATGTGACGTGGTGAGTTTGACACCCCTGGTCTAGTAGTTAAGGCATCAGGCTAGAAACCCAGAGATGGTGAGTTCTAGTCCTGCTTTAGGCATGAAAGCTGACTGGGTGACTTTGGCCAGTCAGTCTCTTCTGGTCCAACCTACCTCACAGGGTTGTTGTTGTGGGGAAAATAGGATGAGGAACGAGTATTATGTATGTTTGGTGCCTTGAATTTTGTATAAAAATAATAATGGGATTAAAATAAATAAATTAAAAAAAATAGTGGCTGTTACAGTCCTTAGACACTTGTAGATGTTGTCTATTTTTTTGTTCTTGGATTATTGGGTCTTTTGGCTTATTGAAGATATTTTGGAGAGGTTTAGTGGGTTTATGTGCTATGGTGATGATATGCAGTTGTAAGAATCTGTTTCTGAGAAGTTTTTTTGATGTATGACAATGTTATCTTGCCTTCTATTGGTATAACATGCAGAGAAATTGAAAATCAGAATTACCTAGTCATATCATTTAATACTTTGTTAGCTTTAGTTAGGCCGATCAATTAAAATGGATTAATAATTAGGAATTGCTTCTTCTTACCTAGTGTTTTCCATCATTAAAGAAAACTCAGTTGCCATCACTCAGCAAATTGCCCTTTAAATCTGTAGACCAGAAATTCATGGAGAAATCTAAGAACCAATTAAATAACTTCTTACAGGTAAGATTCCTTAATGTGTTGATAACCCCAGAGAGTTCATTGTAGAAGTTTTTTTCCTCCTTTTTATTTCTTCTGATAATACATCTTTTCACACCGTATCCCAAATTCAGCCTATAGATCAGTGGTGGCGAAACTATGGCACAGGTGACAGAGGTGGCACTCAGAGCCCTCTCTGTGGGCACGCGCGCCATCGCCCCAGTCCTAGGCCTTCAGCTGGGTTTTATAAAACCTTTTCGCTTTAGGCCTCCACCGCCATGTGCAAAAAAAAAAAAAAAAGGTTCAATCAATCAGTCAATTTCAACTTCTCGCAGGGAAAAAAAAGATCTTGCAAAGTTGGAATTGATTGATTGAACTTTTTAGTCCCACCCAGTCTGCTGTTACCACGCTCACCCAATGGGCCACATCCAGCCAATGGGCCACACCCACCCGGCACCCGACAATGCATAAGTGGGTTTTGGGTTGCAGTGTGGGCACTCGGTCTCTAAAAGGTTCGCCATCACTGCTCTAGATTGATAAAATGGCCTAATTTTGTCATCATTCTATATCCCTTTTCTTTCACTGGGATTTAATGCTTAAATATACTTTTGAATAAATAGTGTGACAGGTCAGTGTTTCAAAATGTGTTGAATGTAAATTCTTGTCAAGGTGATAGAATTGGTTAAAAAAAAGGTAAACTTGCATTTATATCGTGTTATATTTTCTAAAGACCTATACTTTGTTCCATTTTTGTATCTATAAGCAGATGCTATATTCCATTTCTAATATATTTTGGGAGGAAAGACTACAGATTCTAAAAAATATTGTTAATGTCTGTCTCTTAATAAGTTCTGCTGTACAGGTAGTCCTAGCTTCATGATCCTAATTAGGACTGGGATTTCTGCAAAGTGGTTGTTGGCAAAACATCATGTGACTATACCATTTAGTGATGGTATGTCTCAGTTTTGGTCATTAGGTGAGGACCATACCATTGTTAAGTGGAGACCTCATGCTTCTCCTGCCCTGCCACACTTACCTGTTCTTCAGTTCTCCCCACCCATCTATCTTCCTCCCCCATCTTTGCCCTTTTTTCTGCCTTTCTGTCCATTGCAGCCTACCTACCCTAGCTCAGCTGCCACCCCATCTGATCATCATCTTCTTCCTCCCACTGCTGACGAGGCCTCACAAAGAGCAAGTGCAGAGTGGTCAAAATGGCAAAGATAGAGGTGAGATAGGTGGGCCTCATGAAGGGGCATCAGCTGCCTCAGCCAGGAATGCTTCATCAGCAGTGGGAGGAAGAAGTTGGCAAAGATGGAGGTTAGATAGATTGGATGGGGAGAGTTGAAGGACATCTGTGGTCACAAGTGCAGGTGGGCTGCCAAGCACCCAAATTTTAATCACATGACCCTGAAGGTGCTACAGTGGCTGTTATTTCAAGAACTGATTATAACTGCCTTTTGTTCAGTGCATTCATAACTTTGAACAAATGGTTAAATAGTTCAGCGTGCCTTCCACAGTGAGACCTCATCGGTATTCTCCAATCTCAAGAAAAGTCCCAGTTACAGAATTTAAAGACTGAGCTTCCAGATTTGAGATTTTACATTTCTGCTGGATGCAATAATTAACCATAATAACTAATTAATAGAGTACAATATATGCAGTTACTGCACAATATTTGTTTACAGCAAATCAAATCAAGTGATTACAGCAAAAGTGCTTGTAGAACATTTTTTAAAAACTTAAGGCAGCCCATATTTCTTGAAGTGCCTGCAGTGGTACACACACGTGGTCAGAGCTGATGGCGAGCTGGCCGGCAGTTCCAAGGGCAACCAAAAAAGTGATGGATGGACTGCCTGCATGAAGACATGTAAGCCATAGGCATGTGTCCCGCCAATACTGCCGACAGGACAAAGTAGCGGGTGAAATGCAAAACTATGGCCCACGTGACATGACAGGAATAATGCAAAGAACAAAAAGATATGTGAAACAAGTATTCATAATACAATATATATAACTTAATTTTCTTAGTGTGAAACATGCATTTCTTTCTTGAGATATATGCAACTTGGCAAACCAACTAGTCTGCATTTCCCCAACTTTTTGTATTAACTGCTGATCTCTGTCCCTCATTTGTATATATTTTTTATTTAAATGCTATAGTATCTCTTATCATTTGCCTAGCTGGACTTTGGAAATTGTAATTCAATGGTATGTAGAGTGTTATAGATCGCTTATCCCAAATTATGCATGTGTGCAATCAGCTATGATCAATTTATAATCAAAGAAAACATAAGGTAGAAGTGAAAATAAGGTGCTGCATAACATGGGTGAATATGTCACATCTTGGTGCCCCAGAGATGCGACATTATTAGCATTGACTCTCCTGGTGGCAAAGTCTACAGATCATCCCTTAACAGCTCCTTGGTTTATTTGAGTACATCTATATCCCCTGATGGAAAAACATTCTTAGGGTATACATTGTAAACATGTTTTCTTTTATTTTTTTTATTGTATATCAGTATTCAGTTCTTTTGTCAGAATGCACTTGGAAGCCCCTTCCCAAAACACTGATTCCAGGAATAACTGTTGACTTTACGATTTTCAAAGATGCTGATGCTACTGATAAATATTTTTTGCTTTGTTACAAAATAACCAAATCAACTATAATGGGTTGTAATATGCAGATATTTCCTGTTGTAAAAATAAAATAATCTACTGCTTGGTATCTTCAAATACCATACCATCTTTTTTCTGCAGAAATTGCTTTCTGATGAAAGGCTATGTCAGAGTGAAGCACTTTATGCCTTCTTAAGTCCTTCTCCCGAATACCTTAAGATTATCGACATACAGGGAAAGAAGTCAAATTTTTCACTCTCTTCCTTTTTGGAGAGGCTTCCTGGTGACTTCTTTTCTCATCAGGAGGTAAGTGGATGAAGGAGAATTGTTTTTGGTAGATAAGCATTGGTAAATAATGAGGAGACAAGTAAACCTAGGTCACATTGTGTTAAGCTATAGTTTGTTTGTTTCTGACTTAGAGTGATATGTCATTCAAGGAAGCAACTAAATTACAAAGGTAGGGGAATAGGTTTAGTAATCTTACTAATGTAAAAAGAGCAGAACATATGGAGTAAATTCAGATAAGATAGAATTATGAGTAATTTTAAATGAATGAATGACCAAGACGATAAATGTTTTTTAAAATTATTTTGCAATAAACAAAACATTGGAGGATCTGTTGTATACATTGTCTTCAATTTCACTAGCTTCAGAATGGTTCTGACAGTTAGTTCCCATATTTATCCCACAATATATCAATATTTGAAACAGCAGATCATAATTCCTGTCTTAGAGAGAGAGCAGAAATGCATTTAAAAGTTCAGTTAAATTTCCATGCTATTTTTATGATATTCAGGAAGAAACTGAAGATGATGATCTATCTGACTACGGGGATGATGTGGATGGGAAACGGGATGCCCTTGCAGAGCCTTGTTTCATGCTGATAGGAGAGATTTTTGAGCTGCGAGGAAGTAAGTAAGGAACTAGTTCTTTAGCACATAAAAAGTATATTAGTAATTAAGCAACTGAGTAGTAATAAGTTACATTAAAACTTGAAAGGTCCAGGTTGAAGTGTGCCCTAAGCAGAGATGCATTGGACATCTTTGGGCCAGCCACTCTATTTCAGTTCAGTTTAGTTCTCAGGGTAGTTGTTGGGAAGATAAAATGAAGGAAAGTCACAGCTTTTGCTCAAGACAGAAAACTAAACAAATAAAATATTTACATCTTTATTTTTAAACCTGGGAAGATTATTTTTCTGTCTCAGATCCACTAATGCAATTTCTGTCGTGGATCTTAACATATCTTTATAAAAACAATCTATATATTTATAGATGTCATAGAAAAAGATAAGCATGGTTTTAAAATTGGAGGAAGAAACATCAATAACCTGCACTATTGCTGATGACATTAGTCTGATAGTTGAAAAGTAAAGGATCTAGAAGTAATAAAATTCAAGTAATACATTGAAAAATGGGACTAAAATTAAATATAAAGAAGAGCAAGCTAATGACAATAGAAAGAACGACCTACCTTAGAATTGTCAGTGAAAAAGGTAGATAACTTCTGCCTTTTAAAATCAACCATCAATTTTAAAAGAACAAGCAGGCAATAAGTATATTTCAAATTGGCAAAATACCCATGAAGGCCTTGAAAAGATATTAAAATGCTGTGACGTGCTTATACTTAAAAGATCAGAATCATGCAAGCACTAGTATTACCTTGACATCTACAGAAGCAAAATATGGAATTTGAAGAAGCTGGTTAGGCAGAACATTAATGCTTTTGGACCTTTGTGTTGGAGAAGACTCTCAATAATACTGTGAACACTAAGAAAACAAACAAATGAATCACTGAACTAATTAGCCCTCAGTTCTCTCTGAAGGCATAAATGACCAGGTTCAGATCTTACTTTGGGCACATTATGGAAAGACTTAGCTCCCTAGAGAAAGCCCTAATATTGGGAAAGATTGAAGAAAGAAGGGGGCAATCAGCAGCACGGTGGATGGACTTAGTTACATTTATTCTGAAACAAGAAAAAGCTTACAGCTGAATGTGACTGGTGAATTATAAAAAAATACCTTGAAATAGGTAAGATCGGTTGAATGTAAATGCAGTAAAAGTGGTTGTAGGAGTTTACATTGATGTTAATACATAATGAAAGAACATCAACTGGAGGTTCTAAATACAGTAGATATAAACATTCTACATACCCCTGTTAAAATGCCAGTTTTTGACATGTAAAAAAACAGACCAATTTTGAACTGATTTATCTTGGTTTAAAAAAAAATTACATCTCAGAAACCTGGCATTTTAATAAGGGTGTATGCACTTTTTATAACCATTGTATGACCCCCCCCAACCAGGTTAGAAGGAATATAGTCTTTCAACTAACCCATAGTTATTTAAGGTATTAAAGGTAATCAAGTAACATTCTGAAAATAGAAATGAATTGGTAATTAGTACAATTGTTATACTGAGATTACATGATAGGATCACTTGACCCGATCATAATTTTGGCGCAGACTGTGTAGTGACCAAGGTTGGTACGAAGGACTTTGCCAGTATCCCAATCAAACAGTAACTAATATACTTATCAGGAGAGGTTGATCCAGCAGTGATTTCTAATGAGACAGTTTTCTAAATTAGGCAAAACCACTCCTGTCCCATATCACTACTCAAACAATTAACAAGAAGGCTTGGTGTATATTCCAAAGCTGCTGGCCAGAACAGAATTATGCCTCTATCGATGAGCCGGATCCATAGAACCTCTTTTCATATCTGGATTTAATTTCACTTGTTTATCCTCATTTTACCTGTCACTTGATCCCAGACACTACAGACTTGTATGGCTTTCACAGAATCAGATGACAAGTGACTCAGCTGAGTTTTGCCCTTAATTTTCCACTGAATATGTTTGAAGAAAAGTCCTCTACCATCTGTTGAAAATTACTGTATACAACCCTGGATTATCTCTCCTCAGAATTTCATGTAGACAAATTATTCGCCCAGGTATACAACAGTATACTTAAATGGGCATTAACAGCAGGTTTTGCATTTACTTCTTTGTGCTGCTTAATTTTCTTTTTTTAGTGTTTAAGTGGGTGAGGAAGACACTAATTGCACTAGTTCAGATCACTTTTGGAAGAACCATCAACAAGTGAGTGTGCTATACTTCCTTTGCTTCTAAAAGTACTGTCTAAGAATTAGTTGTTTGATGCATAAGCAGTCAGAAACAATCCAAATAGAGGTTGTGATTGACCTGATCTTAAAATCAGACAAAACTTGTTTCTAGAGATGTATTTTTTTTACATACAAATAGAAAGGGTTCTTTCTAAGGTGTGCTACATTGAATGATGCAGTGAACATTCTACCCCAAGCTATACCAGAAGTTGTGCCAATGAAGTCTGGATTTGTAATCTCTTATCAATTTGAATAGAAATATTATTATTTCACGCATAGAAGTAACAATAATGAAGAAATGACACTGAAAGCAGTGCAACTAACTTCTGAATATAAAGATATAGAATTGCATTGTATTATTGTATTTCATCGGATATAGCAGAGGTACTTAGGCAGGAAACAAACCTGCTTGAAAACAGGTTGAGATAGGAACCTGAATTTTTCAGCAGATATCAAATGTATATCCGCTTATAGTACAAATATGAGCTATGAGAGTGTATATAATGATAAGAGTTTATACACTAACTTGTTTCCATAGAAACAACATTTCTGAGACACTTTGAAATAAGGTGTACTCTAAATCACATATGATCCTAAGTCCTGAGTTACCTGGCAAGGAAGATACTTGATCATAATTCCCTTTCTACAAGAAAATACAAGACTATCACCAGCATTTAATGAGTTTCCATTTATGTTTTGATTTTTAACATTTAAGTGACATGTATTGAAATAGAATTAAATATGACTTACAGGAATACAATGTAGGGTACAGCCTGTTTCTTATGTGGATTATAAAAGAGTAAGTGCTATGGTGCAGTTGGCTCAGGGAAGAGGAAGAAAGACTCTGGAGATGAGGAAACAATAGTACTTATAGTGTTCAGTGCACTTAGGCAGACACAAGCTAACTTGCTTCTAATTATTAAATGCCATCAGCAGGAGACACAAGTGATGCTTTTCCTATGATTTTACTTTAGAATACACTAATTCAGTGAATAGTATATATTTTGATCAGTGATTGATATTGAGAGATCTATTATACTGCTCAAAGATAGTAGAAAGTGATGATGATGATGATGATGATAATGATGGCAGTGACAATCATTTTGATGACAATGCCATTTGTAATATCCTCAGTGGGATATAATGATGGGAAAATAATAGATAATAAAAAGGTAATCAGGTCCAATAATGTAGTGTAGTAAGATTACTATCCTATGTGTGGATGATCAGTCATTGATCGCGCTGGGTGGTACCTAAGAGATTTGGTGTGTGATTACATTAGATTAGAGGCTCAAAACTGCTCTATCATTCTAAAAAAAGAAAATCAAGGTGGGTCTAAAGGGAAAGGTAGATTTGTTTGCTGTTGTAGGACTGCACAAAGCATTGCAGTGGGCATTTTGTGAAGCACATTGGCCCAGCTGTACCAGGAGTTCTGAAAATGTTGTTTTAATGTGTCAAACAAAGGCGTGTCTTTTGTTTCCTTGCCCTCTGTGAAGGATGTATTTTGATTGCTTTGCACAGCATTCTGTTTAAGGCAAAAGGGAGTTCTTCCAAAATACAGTTTTAGAAAGTTTTAATGGAAATAGAAGTGCCAAATCATTAGCTGTTTTTTTCCTGCTGAACAGGCAAATGAGCAGAGAAATAGTGTGAATAGCAATATCATTTTTTAGCTGTAATGTTGTGATACCGATAAAAGAAAAACCTCAGAAATATTAAATAAAACAGACAAATAATTTGTTTCAGCATCCAAATAATATTGAACTATGTTAGAATTGCAAGGAGACCTTAAAATGCATAGAAGTATATTTAAAATTATTCTTTCTCAATCTGGTGTCCCTGAATGTGGTAGGACTGTAATATCAAGCAGAAAACAATGACCTAATCAAGGAAGTACCACAGACAAGACCACATACACCAGCAACACTGGCAGGGCAAGCTACTGCATATAAACAAAGCAGAATTATTAAATTTAATAGAGAAACCCCACATTCATTATCACTGGAAATGTTATTTTACTTGGGAAATGAAGCATTTGCAATCAAGCTCAGAGAGCACTGAGGATTCCACAATTCAACTCTTAGCTACATATATTCTCTTCTATTAGGACTGTAATTCCTAGTTAGGACAACAGTTTGTGTCAACATCTGAGATATCCACATCAGAAAACAGTCTCCAGAGAAATACTGGAGCTCTGTTTTATTTATTTTTTATTTTTTTATAAACAATTTTTATTATTTTCCATTTACACCAACAGAAGCTTAAGAACCAGCGTAGAGATATGGTGGTCAATTACAAAAAGAAAGCAATAACATTATATATATATACAATTCACACAATATTTCTTAAAACTTCCCTCTCTATGTAGAAATTATAATCAATTAAATTCAAATAAATTCATTCATTAATATATCTAAATATCAATTTCCTTAATCAATAAAAACTTTCAACCACTCAATATCAATATAATAATCAAATTAATACAATGCTATAGCCAATTCATTCTTTAATATGTCACTATATATAAATTAAATGCTTAAATCAAAACCAACGCTCTCTATTTAAATTATTGGAATCTCATTAGTACATTTCTAACACAAATTTTCATTAAGTATATTGCTAGATATAAATTTCATTAGTCAATCATCTTTTACGAAAGCTCCTTATTTATCCCAAAGATCCTGTTTTAAACTTTATTAATTTTTCCAAATATTTAAATTTAAGCTAGCCTAATTATTTAAGTATTTCAGGGCCCCCAAATTTCTCTTATTTAAACATATTAGCTCCAAAACTAAATTCCTATATTTCTCAACTATATTTCTATTCTTTTTCAATAATTCTCTATTTTATTGAGCTCTATTTTATTGATATAGGCTATAAGAGCAGAATCTTGAAAGCCTAACAGTGTTTTTCTTTCCCTCCTACCGAAGAGAGTTAAGGAAGAGCAATTTAATTTTTTCCTAACATTTTCTTTCTTCCCTAGATTTAATTCATGTTTTGCTAACTGCTGTATTCCTTTTCCAAAGTCATCTCTGGTTTCCTAAAATGTGGGGAAAATTGATCAAATGACCCCCACCCTCTTTCCAATTTATATGAATATAATGTAGACAATTAGTATCGTCTATTTTTAGTAAATCAGTAAAACACTTGTACTTTTTAAACAGTACATTGGCAAGTAAAAATTGGCAAATGCTGCTTTTTTTGCATTATTAAACTATATGATTTACTTTATTTAGTTTACATTATGCTTCAATTATATTAAAATATTAAATTATATTAAATGGAAAACAATCTATTCAACCTAACATTATCACCTAAAGCAACAGTGACATAACTAGATTGCATTAAAAAGACTTAAAAATACACTTTCCAGTGTATTGGTGAGCATTAATGAGAGTGACTTTTCCTGTCTCTGTCTCCATTTCTAGCATTCAAATTCTATTTGTAGAATTCTGATGTGATGATGAATTATATTGTGTCAAACACATTAACTGAAATTAGAAATGATAACAATTTATTCTATTACTACAAAGTAATTAATATAATTATAATTATGGTAATTACTATTTCCAGTGTAATGTACAGAACAAATTTCGCAACTTTGAGATGTGTGGACTTCAACTCCCATAATTCCCTGGCCAGCTGAACATTCCTGATCATTGTCCTTGTTAGGATTGTGGAAAGCTGATCTGAACGATATTTCATATGGTTGTTCCACTCAAATTGCACTTTTACTAGTATTTGGTACCGTATAACTATTAGCTCTCATTTTTCTAGAAGGATCCTAGTTATAAAATGATAGTTTGAAACTATTTTTATGGTTCTCCTTAGCAATCTTATTTACAATTTTACTTATTTCCAATCGCTCCATGCTGTATTGCTTGAGTTGCATAGTATAACAAGGGGATATAAGGAAATTTCATGATACCAACTATATACTCCCTAAAATACACGGTATACAAAAAACCACAGACTCTTATGTAAATTACATTAAATGTTCAAATTGGTTGCCATTTTTTTCTAAACACTTACTTGTTTGACTTCATGACCTCTGAATATTCCTTGGTACAATTACATTTTCTTTCGTATTTGCATATTATGATGTGACGGTCTTCTTTAGATTGTCTGACCCTATGGGCCTGATTTTAGCTATGTCGTGTGTGTATGTGCGTTTGTGCACGTGTGTATTTCTAGAAAGGGAAAAGTGGTTAAAGCTTTTTTCTTAATGCCTTTCCTCCAAGACAAATTCGTGACACTGTCAATTGGATCTTCAGTGAGCCAATGCTTGTTTACTATATCAATATTTTTCGAGATGCATTTTGGCCAAATGGGAAACTGGCATCCAGCCCAAAGCCAACAAATGAACAGCAAAGTCAAGAAACAAAACTGAAAGCACAGCAAAAACTACTTGAAAACATTCCAGGTGAGACATTCTGACATTATTGCAACATTAGAACATTATTTTTTTGTTTCAAATTTTTATTAAGATAAACTACTACGTTTATCGAGATATAAAATACAAAAGAAAATGAAAATAGTGGGAAAATACGGGAGGAAAAAGGGAAGGGAGAAAGTGTAGGGGGAAAGGGGGAAAACAGTGAGTTCTGACTCTTTTAAGTGCAGTAGAATAGAATAATAACACTGCAGTCTCAACTTTTTATTTTTACATGCTAACATATATGTTCTTTTGACAATAAAGGTCAAATTTGATGAACAAACATGTTTAAGTAAATCTTCTCCTTGGCTATTTAATAGCAATAGGATTTGGACTTACATACTGCTTCATAGTATTTTATAGCCCTCTCTAGAGGTTTAGAGTCAGCATATTACTCCCAACAATCTGGGCCCTCATTTTACCAACCTCAGAAGGATGAAAGGTTGAGTCAACCTTGAGCTGGTCAGGATCAAATTGCTGGTAGTTGGCAGAGGTAGTCTGCAATACGGCATTCTAACCATCATGCCACCACAGCTCTTCCATAGTATTGATATTTTAGAGTGAGGATAAAGAATTTAGAAGAAAATATACCCCCTTCGGAGCGGGTTCGCAACTTGGGTGTCCTCCTTGATCCACAGCTGAATTTGGAACATCAATTGACGGCTGTGGCTGGGAGAACCTTTGCACAAGTTCGCCTGTTGCACCAGTTGCGACCCTACCTGGACCGGGAGGCTCTCCTTACAGTCACTCATGCCCTTGTCACCTCACGTTTGGACTACTGCAATGCGCTCTACATGGGGCTACCCTTCAAAAGTATTCGGAGACTACAGTTGGTCTAGAATGCAGCCACGCGAGTGATAGTGGGTGCTCCTCGATACACCCACGTTACACCTATCCTCCGTGAGCTGCACTGGTTGCCTATTGGTCTCCGGGTCCAATTCAAGGTGTTGGTCATTACCTTTAAAGCCCTATATGGCTCAGGGCCAGGCTATTTGCGAGACCGCCTACTACCTCATAGTTCCCTACATCCAATTAGATCCCACAGGCTGGGCCTCCTTCAGGCCCCGTCGGTCAAGCAGTGCCATTTGGCGGGGCTGCAGAGGAGGGCCTTCTCTGTGATGGCGCCCACGCTTTGGAATCAGCTCCCCCCGGAGATTAGGACCGCTCCCACCCTGTTGGTCTTCCGTAAGCTACTTAAGACCTGGCTTTTCCGGCAGGCCTGGGGTTTATAAAACCTTACCCCTGGATGATTTTGTATTGTTGTTTTGTTATGTTTTATGTGTTTTTTATTGTTAGCCACCTAGAGTCCTTCGGGAGTGGGGCGGCTTATAAATTTTAAAAATAAAAAATAAATAATAAAAGACAGAGTACAGGAACTAGAGATAATTGAACTTCCATCATTTCTTTTATTCTGTTATAGTAGTTAGACTATTTTGTTGTCACTGTACCCAGCTTGGATCATTATATAATTGCACTAGTGTGGATATACTTTTATTTCATTATACACTGTATTTTTAGATTATATTTCTTCATAAATGGTTGAAAGTATTAAAATCAGAGTCAGACTTTTTTTTTAAAAAAAATGCTTCTTTCAGACACTCTCCAAAGTCTTGTTGGACAGCAAAATGCTCGCCATGGTGTAATAAAAGTGTTCAACGCACTTCAAGAAACCAAGGCCAATAAGCATCTTCTTTATGTGAGTTTAACTCAGACTCAGCTTGTTATTTAAAACTGATAGTTTTTCAGATCTAGAAGTTTCACTGTCTAATGTACTGTTTCATAGAAGTTTTTTTTTTAAGTTATTATGGGTGAAACCTAATTACGAGAATATATAATTCACACCTAAATAAACTATGGCCATGTTTTCTTCAATTTCTCATCTTCTTTAGCTGAGTAGTAGTTGAAGCAATGGAAGGAAATGAGTTAAATCAAATTAATTATAAAAATAATTTACTAATTCTTGAGGTCTCCTCAATCATACTAGATTTATCTAAAGGTCTGTGTTGTCAGTTAGCACCAATATAATATAATAAAAATGTGGTCCTCTATCATGCTTGAACCACCTGGAAAATGGGAAAATGATGGGCAGCAGATGACTTGACGCCTTGAGTACACATGTACATTTGTGTACTTGGTGTTACACAGAATCTGAAGTGGAGCAATCCTGTTCCAGAACAGGGCTTTCTGGCTCATTATTGGGAGATCTTTTCATTATACTTTTCTACACAAAATATTCAAATTAATTTATTTAAATTTGATTGCAGATCAGGAAACATGCTGGACTGGGCAATAAAAGCTTTTACCAGAAGGCCTTATTCTTTGGAATGGTTATACGTCCAGCCTTCCTGTAACCCTAAATTGGCCATTGTTGGGTCCCCAAGATGTCTCTTCAGAGGAAGTGAATTGTGCTTCAGTCCTTTTTATACTGTAATATTTGATGTTCTAATATCAATTTAGAAGAAAAAAACACATTTTAATTTTTCTCTCCTAGGTATTATTGGAAATGCTGCTACTTGAATTGTGTCCTGAACCGCGAATTCATTTAGAGAAGGTTAAAGCAGCTCAGGTTTGAATGTTCAGGTGAATTAGTAAGAAGAATGTCTATTGGTAATAATAGACTTAAACATTTCCCTCTTTTCCATGGAGGGCTGACTGAAAACTTCTGAGAATTTGTACATTTTTCTTTTTTCAGATTTACACAAAGCAAAGCAGACTTGAAAAGAACAGATATTTAGAATGCCAGCAATGTGTAGTTTCTGGCTTTTATTTAACTTGTTATATGAATACATCTCTTTAAGATACAGATTGAAATTTGAATGTTAATATAAGATATATGAAATATAAAGTATTTTAAACATTTACAAAAGGCATTTTGCTTTAGTGATATCTTAATGGATGTTGTACAGTTATTTTTTTCGCTGAGGATACTGACTGTTCCTCTATTTTCTTGTGTATTGATGAGCCTTGTGCAATATATGTAAAGATACTGTGTAAATTTTACTGCTTTTATTTTTACCAAAGATTTTCCATAGTTTGCAGCCTTTGTAAGCAATAAATTATAAAAGTAGAGTACACCGCTTCATAATTACAGCTTGAAAGTTGGAGTGTTGTTTCAGAGAACTGTATTTATTTGTTTGAACATTACAGACAACCAAAATTTAATGTTACCTTGAAATACATTGTGAGCAAATCAGCCTGAAGCAGGATATAAATATCTTATCATCCTAATAAATTGAAGTGCAGTTAAATCATCCAGCCCATTTTGATGTTCTCCAGGGCACGTTGTCTACAAACATATCTCTTTTAAAAGGGCTATTACACCCATATTTAATTTTATGTCAAGGTTGCCCATTTAGCCATTTAAAGAACAGATAGTGAGCTGTTGTTGTAGAGTAGCAATGTGTATTCTGAACTTAATTTATTAATGTGCTGTGCTAAAAAAATTACAGTATTTTCAGGGTATGTATATCCCAAAGACAATACTACCAACAACCGGTGCAAAGAGAAGAATCACAATCCAGCAAATTATGAGATGGTTGACCTTTTTATATATATATATTTTTAAAAAACGTAACGATTCACACATTAAGCCAATTAGCTTGTTCTTTTTAGCAGCAATGACCTTTATGTTGTGATTTTAAATACACAGATGTGTTGCGGTGATTTTATGGTAATTACTAATCCAATACATAAAGGCCTAAATTATCATCATCTTTACTTCTGCAATATACAGTATTATCTATATAGTACGATTGGTAACCTATGTCTACCAGGGATTTCAGGGCTTATTGATTTCAAGTAATTATTCAAATGGACGTGGTCTAATAGTAAGGATTGATTTAAACAGATGCAAAAAAAAATTACCAAATAATTTTTCAGCAACCGTGGAAGAACGCTTTAGGAAGATAGGGCTTTCAAAGGATGTTTTAAATTTATTTTTAAAATTTATACAAATGTGCACACTGCTAATTTAATGTTCTCAATGTTCTTTCTAATGTACAATGAAATGTTTTTATATATTAGACAAAGTTATTTCATATATTTTATAGTAAACAAAAATAAGTACTGTGGCACAAGCCTAGTAATCCAGTATACAACTTGTTAAAATACTGTATATCATCTTAGGCAGTATAGCTAAGTAGTCCATATTTCTTTAAGATAACTGAAGAATTCCTGGCACTTTGATATTCACAAACTAAAAGCACTCTGATGTAACAAATAATCATCCAAGGTTTTCCTGGATTGTTTTGGAACCCATTTTTTACCTAGAAGACAGAATCCATATAAGCTGTGTGAAGCTATGCAGTAGACTGGTGACATTTCCTTTTGTTTGCAGCTAACCTCATAGCGCATCATAAATAAAAAATAGGTTTTCTGTATTTCTTCTGTCATTTTCTTCAGCATCTGAAGACGTGTTGTGCAGGATTACCTATAGTGATTTCTATTCTTTACCAGTGTATGAAAGAAGCTGGTATAGGTTAATGAATGTATAGGTTTGTTTTCTTGAAGTGTTTTTATGCTTTCTTCTTATCCCTTATCTCATTCTATATAGAAATGATCTTGTTTGAAATCAGTTTTGAGAAACCCAAGAGAATTGCATTCTCTAAACCTCATGATTATGGCAGAATTTGTACTTAAGGCAAGAACTAGATGCTTTCTTTTTCTTCTGAGACGCTAGCCAACCTTTCTCCACTATAACTACAAAAGATAACAAGGAAATATTATGTAAGGCAGAGTACTGACATAACACACCGTCTTAATCATGGATAGCTAATTGCAAATGCCTTCAGAAATGTACTCAATGATTATCAGTCAACTTTTATTATATTAACAGAATTAAAGAATAGTTTTACAAAGTAATGGTTATAACTTTACTGAAGGGAATTTATATGCATTACTCTGATTGAAGAAAAGGGAGACAAAAGAAGTTTGTTCATATTAATCAGAAGCTAAAAGAAATGTGTTCCTCAGATTCAGCAGAATAATATTCTAAATTCTCCCATGATTAGCAGTCAGCTCAAGATCAGCAGCTACAGCAGGATCCAATCGACATGCCTTTAAAAACAGAAAAATATATTTTAAAAAATAGAATTGATCTTGTGTGTATTGTACAAGCTCACTGTGCTAGTAGATATTGTTTCCTAAGCTTCTTTGGGTTAAATCGTTAAACTAAAAATACATTTTTGATCTCCTTAATCTTCTGTTTCCTTTTTTAAAAAATCTCTCAAGATAAACTGATGGCAAAGTAGCTTTCCCATATGGAAAATATATCATGGAAAAAAGTTAAACTGAACTCTATATTTGCCAGATGTTTAGACTGGATTTTTCATTTTTGTCCACTTATCAAATCCTTCCCAAGAACCTAGGATAGGCACATGTTGTTTAATAATATTAAAAGCATCATTATTACTATTCTTGGATTATAAATTCACTGCATTATTGCTGTTGTTAAAATGAAAATTGGCAATTGGTTATTTTATTTGATATTTGTAAAAGAAAAAGAGTGATTATTTATAGAGGATGTTCACATTTATTCCACAGAAAATGTCCAATCTCAGTCACAAGGTACTTAATTTTTAAAAAAATTGAAACACAAACAGGGGACTGAGTCAAGAATACTACTAAAACATAGCTTGACCTAAGTTAGCACATTCCTCCAATATAGCTGTCAAGAAATTCAAATGCTTTCACTTCATTTTTGAGTATTTGCAGCTTGCCATTTGGTCTGAGCTTGAAGAAAAAGTAAGTGATGTTAACTATAGTTACTATGGCCTGAAGCTAGAAACCAGCTAGCTCCAGGCCATAGCTCATAAAACTAATTTGTTCCCAATAATTTTACTTAATATTAACAAGTGAAGCTTCCATAAACTTTAATTAATCTAAAAAACGGAAGTGGAGAAGGCAGGGAGCATATGAACCTGGAAATATGGTAGACTTACTCGGAAACTGGTATTCTCCACACTTAAGATTATTATGTCCTTCAAAGCAGCAAGAGTGCAGGCTGCAGAGTATACATGCCTTGGATAATCACATGAATAGTAAGAGGATCTATTTAGCATCTGTATGATTATGACTGTATCATCTATCTTAAAGTTGGCTTTGAAATCTTTCACATCAAGTGGAAGTAAACAACAAATGGGGCACAAACCTAACTTGTCTCAAGTTAAGTCAATCTGATAATGTTTTTGTTCTTTTCAGATATTTTATAAACTGTTTAATTTTCATGTATAATTCTGTTTCATATATTACACATAAGCCTAACAGTAAACTTAAGAAAGTAAGCTCACATCCAATTAAAAAGATAGAGTCACCCCTTTCTTACCTTAGAATAATAATTTTTAGCTGCTGCTATATCTTGTTGGGTTCCTCGGCCAAGATGGAGGCATCTGGCCAAGTAGAAAGAAGCCATTGCAAGTCCTCTGCTTATGTAAAAAGGAAGACAATCTGTTTCCTCTGCTATCTTTTCAACATTGTCATTTTCTGTTACTCTATTTGGACATATACCATAGGGTAAAAAATGAGTAACTTCAGAACACGAAAGAATAATTCAAATAATTACTAAGAACAATTTTGCCAAAGACGAGACTTTTTGTATAAAATGTGCCAGTAGTTTATAAGCCCTAAGTTCACATACAGGTAGTCCTCAACTTATGACAGCAATTGGACTGGAATTGCTGTCTTTAAGTGATGCATCGGTAAAGCACAACCATGTTGCCTAATGATGGCAATCCCTATAGTCCCAGTTGCAGTCATTAATTGAATTCCCACAGTTGTTAGGTGAAGCAACTTCCTGCTTTCCACACCCAAGCGCAATGGGGAACTCAGCAGGAAGTTGCAAGTTCCAGGCAGGAAGTTAAGTGGCTGCTTCCAGGTAGGGGATAAAGGGAGAGGACTTGGGGGTACAGCGTTCATGAGATGCACATGTTGGGGAGGGTGGGGTGTGAAGGTACAAGGGAAGCCTGGCAAGGTCAGAGATGGTGAGCAAAGACACAGCATGGGTCAGAGACAGTTTGAGGGTGTAAGAGCGGTATTGCATGGGTTGGGGAAGGTACAGGGGAATGCAAGAGAGGCAGCACAGGTCAAGGCAGGTGTACAAGGGTGAGAGGGAAAGTGCAGTGAAGGTTGGGGAAAAAGTGTGAGTGGCCCGAGTGGTACAAGTGCAGGGGGGATGGGGAGGGGTGCGCAGGTGGGAGAGACTTACCCACCAACTTGCAATCTTCCCTGCTGGGGAAGTGTGTTAGGATTCCCCATTGACTTGGGATTGAAGAATAAAAAGTTGGGAAAATGACATGTAACTTTGTTTTTATAAATGATACAGCAAGATTATTGGCAATATCTATAGCGCAGAAATAGTTCGTGAACATAAAACTTGCTGATATGGCCAAATTAACATGTTTTATTAGAGAAAAGATATACAGTATATTTGTTGGTTTGTTCTATTTACATTCTTTTCATTTTCTTCCTTTATTATTGCAAGCAGAGTAGCCCCACTGAAATAGATGGCAAATAAATTTAATAGATAGATAGATAGATAGATAGATAGATAGATAGATAGATAGATAGATAGATAGATAGATAGATAGATAGATAGATAGATAGATATAACCAAGCAACCAACCAGCATCTTGAACTAGACCTGGTAGGAAACTAGCTGTCAATGCAGCTTGTGGAGTAGACTTGTAACCTGCCACTACATTCAATACCATCTGAAGCTTTTGGATGCTATTAAAGGATGGCCCCTTGTAGAGCGACTTATGATCTATGATTTTGACAGATAGGATACATTGTAGAAAGAAGAGAGTCACCAGGTAACTTAGAGGTAAATATACAATTGTACTTTACAATTACTGTAACAAGATCAGGAGCCACTTTATCTTTTTTTTCTATTTGTTTTCCTTTTCACACGTTAGAATTTTTTTTAATTCTTCATTTTATTTTTCCTTCTTTATTTTAGATTGTATTAATTTTTATTCTTGTTTTGAAAGCTCTCAATGACATTACATTAAAAAGCAGAGAAGCTGCAAATGATGATCACGTGATCACAGGTGCTGCCACCAGTAATAAGTTGTCAAGCACCCAGACTGTGATCAGGTGACTATGGAGGTATTCAGATGGCAGAATCTCCAAGAACTGGCCATAGCCACCATTTGTTCAGTACTATCGTAATGTCAAATGGTCACTAAACGAATCGTAAGGTCAAAGACTGCCTGTACTTAAGAAAGTTTTTATACAGTCACAAACTATATCCAGAATTAATGTAGTGTACAAGCATAGCAATTACTAATTGCTCATAGATAGAAAAAGCTCTTGCATAAAAATCTTTGTGCCTGAGGACTTTAAAAGCCACAACAGGAAAGATTTCAAAATGTTATTTATTTTTAATAATGCATTATTTTTAAATAATGTATGTATCACAAAGCATCTGAAATACATATGCTGACCTCTTGCCCTTGTCTACCCACATAAATACTGGTGAATTTGTTTTATGCTTTCTTTTTCTCAGTTAGCTTCCCCTTGAAGAACAAACTAAAATGAATTCACCTTTTGGCAAACTCGGCCGCTTTTATAAAAAATTTTCTTTTGTAATAATATTCCACCAAATGGCCTTTAGCATAGACATTTCCTCGATGCGATGCCTGATTGAGGCACTCCAAAGCAGCCTTCAGGTTTTGATGTATGCCATGTCCGTGAAGATACATAATCCCAAGGATGCCTTGCGATTCCAAGCTTCCGTTCCCACAAGCTTCTGAATGCCAAAAGAATGCCTGCAGAAAAACAACTTTCCAAAAATCATTTGGGCAGGAAGAAGAAAGAGATCTTTGCTATATTGAGGCTATGTGGACTGATAGATGCAGAGTTAAGGATTATGCTTTGTGTTTAGGAAGAACCTCTCTAGCTACCCAAAAATATGAAGATTGTCGATCTTCAAACTGGCAGAGATACTGTGTATGTAACTGACATTCTTCAGCAGTTGCCTGTGCTATTTAGATAGGAAATAATCCTACATTTCATTATTCTGGAGTGAAAAATGAGACACCATAATTTCCAATTTAAAATAAATGCTTTATTCTTTATATGTATATTTCTATTTCCAGGCTGCCAGCTATTTTGCTTAGGTTTTAATACAACAGTGGAATATAGTATTATTTTTTTAGCCAATAGATAAGATCCCTCAAGAATGTTGTTTGAGCCTTTGGCCCTAAATCATCCAGTGAGATTCTGTAGCTGATGGTAGACTGGGTTTCCCCAGTCCTGGTCCAACTCCTTAATCACTATATAACATTGGGTCTCTGTTCTCGTCTTGCTGCCTCTTTTTTGTCATTTCCAAATGGAAAGAGACTCTATTTGGCCAGTTGAATGCAGGGCTTGGAATAAAACTACCCCAAAGTAAAAGCTACCTTTTTAAGATCCTTAGCATGTGCTGAATACAGCATTCCAAGTGTACTCTGAGCCTTTACACTTGCTTTTGGGTTCCCATGGTCTGCAGCAAAAAGCCATAATCTAGAAAACAATAGTAACGTTGATGGATTATTTTCATTCATAGCTGTGTGGAAGTTTCTCAGATGTTGTGAAACTTACTGTACACAGTTCTTCAAAAACCATCAAACTGTAACTAAGTAGTCCCATCCAGCATAACCAATGCTAAAGCATTTTGGATGTTGTAGTTCAACATCACTGGGAGAACCACAAGTCCCTTATCCATGCATTAGTCCAGTGGTGGCGAACCTATGGCACGGGTGCCAGAGGCAGCACTCAGAGCCCTCTCTGTGGACACATGTGCCGTCGCCCCAGTCTTAGGCCTTCAGCTGGGTTTTATAAAACTTTTTCGCTTTAGGCCTCCACCGCCGTGTGCAGAAAAAAAAAGGTTCAGTCAATAAATTTCAACTTTTTGCGGGAAAAAGATTTTGCAAACTTGAAATTGATTGAACTTTTTAGTCCCACCCAGTGTGCCGTTACCACCGCAGTCACACCCATCCAATTGGCCATGCCTACCCAACTGGCCCACACCCAGCCAATGGGCCACGCTCACCCAATGGGCCACACTCACCTAGCACTCAGCGATGCAAAAGTGGGTTTTGGGTTGCAGTTTGGGCACTCGGTCTCTAAAAGGTTTGCCATCACTGCATTAGTCCATTGTGTTGAAATCATGGCTCAGACTATATTATTCTCCAGTACAGGAGATGGAGAATACACCAATGGGTTTTCTCTGTCTGCCTGCTCTTGAGACCAAGTAGCCAAACTCCCTCTTGCTAGGAGATCCAGTCTTAACTTGGTCTCAGCTCTTGAAGACGTATCAGGTTTGGCTCTCAGCAGATAGCAGGTTAGAAATCCATTGGTGAATTCTTTTCCCTCAAAAATTAACTAAATACTAATTTAGAATCCTCCCTTAATTTTCCTATAGCACTGGGATCAGTGCTACCTCAAATCACAGATTTGAGGACTGTAAGGGGGGGGGAGTTTTCTGCAGCTTTCTTTCTTTCCCCAGGGCTCTGGGGAAAATTTCTAAACGGGCTGCTTGGGACATCGTTCTTTCTCCCCCTCCCTTTTTTCTCCTTTTTTCTCCTTTTCTTTAAACTACTGAGTGCTCTTTCAGACTGCTGGTCTAAAATTGGAGATTCAATTCAGGGCCTCCGGACTCACCTCCGGCTGCTGGAATCAATTGCGGACGCCATTTTGGTTGCCGACAAAGGCAACAAAGTCCGATTCACCTCCTCTCTTGCCTGCCATTCGGAAGTAAGATCGCTGGGCGCAATTTTGGCGCAGCGTCTACCGCTGCTATTGCGATCGCCCCAGCCATCTGGATTTTTGATTTTGAGGCCGTGGAGACCATTCTCAGCAGAGAACGAGTTGCGGCCGCCATTTTGGGGCTGCCGATCCAGGCGAAGAGCTGCGAACGGCCTTTCTTCGGCCCTCTCAGCACTCTGCCCCTTTCATGACTTACCTTATACAGCCCCTTTTAGTACTTAATTTCCAATTTCACTGCACTCCTCTAGGCATAGTTAACTAGATCGCTTCCTGCGGCCACCATCTTGAATGCCACGTTGGAGCTTCTTTAGGCCCAATGAGGCCTACTCAAAGTAACCCAGCCATTTAGAGTGCCATCTAGCTCATAACAATGTGTATTGTGCTATTGAATATGAACTAATCCAGATTCACCAACCCAGTGACTTCCTGGTACATTAAAACATCACCTTCTGCAATACATACAAATTGTGTAGCCGCCAATTGAGCCTGATCCTTCCTTGCCAGGATATTTTTTTCTTTCAGGTCCTCTGCGCCCTCATTGGGGTTTTTCCTTTTTGTCTGGTGCACATTGACTGGCCACCTAAGGCCTCCGCGCGGAGCCCAGAGCGGGTCCCCAACCGTGCCTTCGGCATCTGACTCAATTGTCATGACCAAAGCCCAGATAGAATTTTTTTCTGGTCAGGTGGTCAGGGGAGCAGATTTGTTACTTGTTCCAATTTCACTTCCGCCAACAGCTTGCCAGCCAGAGCTTCGTCTCAGTTTCCCTGAGGCTGCTCAACAAGGATGGAGGATACAACGATGCCTCAACCTATGAGCACCGCCTCCCCATCATCTAGTTACGGCCGGCACAATCCTCTAAATAGGAGGCAGCAGGCAAGCCCAAATCTAAGGCTAAGACCACTCTCAAGAAGCCTTCCAAGTTGGTGGAAAAGCAAGCCAGCCGTAGGCACCAGGCTCTGGAGAAGGAGTTCTCCAGAGTGCAGAGACAGGCTGGATTAGAGATGGATCAAATGGCGGTTCCTGAATTTGACCTTCCTTTAGGCCCTTCAACCTCGGCCCAAGATGTGTGGTCTCTCACAGGGACGCCTGCCACACTCAGCTCCCCTTCTGTATTGGCTCAACAGACAATAATTACCTCAGGCTCAGCCCCAGAGGCCACCTTTACCCCTACAGCCACAGGACTCGGGGCCAGACATTGGAGACATTTTCTCTGACGGCTGTCTTGAGGCCTTACTATCCAAGGTTGTGGAACGCGCCCTAGCGGAAAGGTCTTTTCATCCGTGTGGACAAGGGGCTTCCACATCAACCATGCCATCTTATGTTCCCTCCATGGGATTTCCTATTCCTCAGGAACCCACATCTGCACACTCCTCCGTAAGCGGTTACTCATTGCCGCAAGGCAAGGAACAGCCAGAATTTAATTTATCAGAGGAGGAGGAACTTCCACCTGAACCCTCCCCATCAGGAGGCCTGTTCAATCCTGCCCTCTTTCTTCCCCTCCTTCGCAAAGCCATTTCAACGGCAAATATAGGGTCCGATCAGTTTCCCCAGCCGCAGGCAACTTCGGACACCAGTCCAAATCTGATATTTTTTGAGACGGTGACAGCCCAACATCAAGTTCCGTGTCCCTTTATTTTTCTCAAGGGGATCAAAAAACAATGGGCCTCCCCTTCCTCCTTCCCTTCCATAAGCGGGTCTGGCAAAAAGATTTTTAGCACCTCCACAGACCTCACTGATGCCCTGGAGGTCCCCAAGGTTGACGAAGCCTGGACTCCTCTGGTATCCCAGACTGCGGTCGCTGGAGACATGTCGGAGGCGCTTAAAGCGGATGACAGAAAGTGGGACCAGACCTTCAGGAAGACCCATCAATCAGCAGCATGGGCAATCAAAACGGCCACTTGTGGGTCCTTCTTTGTGCGTACCACTCTTTTATGGCTGCGTCAGCTTAGGCCATGGTCTCTGCTGAGATCATTTGGATCCATCAGAACCTAAGCAAAATGGTGGCGGCCACCGAGTATGCTGTGGACGCAATGCTTCAGTCAGTCAATTTTGCTTCTAGGTCTCTAGCATCCAACATTACAGCCAGGAGGATGCTCTGGCTGAAACACTGGCAGGCTGACGCCAAAGCCAAATGGCGTCTCGCGACTGCGCCCTATCTGGGCAATAATCTTTTTGGGGAGGCCCTGGCCCCGTACCTTGTGGAGAACAAGGACAAGTGGAAGGTCATGGCCCATTTGAACAAACGGGCCGACAAACGTCCTGCTTCCTATTTCTGCAGGCAATCCTTTCGGCCAGCGGCAGGCCCATCAGTCACTCAGCCTTCCCGCTCATACACACCCAGACAGGATAGGTCATATGACCGTCCGTATGACAGGCCAGGCTTTCGGTCCAGACAGCAGAGTCAATCTAAGCAGCCATTTTGAGGAGTAGGATGCCCCTACAGGAGGTCCAAGTGACTTTTACACTACACTTCCCATTGGGGGAAGGCTGGCCCACTTCTTCCATCAGTGGGAACTCACTTCCACGGACACCTGGGTCTTGCAAACCATCCAGTTTGGTCTATCCCTGGAATTTCTGGCCAGCCCCCCAGACCAATTCATTGCATGTCCCGTTTCCCGGGATCCACTCAAAAAAGGACTCATGTGGGAGGCCATTCAACATCTTCTAGAGATTCAGGCCATAGAACCGGTACCGCCGAACCACAAGGGAGGGAGATTCTACTCCATCCTCTTTGTGGTTCCCCAGACTTCTGGGGGATGGACAGCGATTCTGGATTTCAAGGGTCTAAACTATTACATCACTTACAAAAAGTTCAAGATGCAACCACTCCAGTCCATCCTGGGAGGCATCAGACAGGGAGACTTCCTGGCATCAATAGACCTCATGGAAGCGTACCTTCACATCCCTATCCATCCAGCTCACTGGCGGTTCCTCAGGTTCTGTAACAGGGGCAGTCATTTCCAGTACAAGGCCCTCCCTTTTGGCCTTTCATCAGCACCCAGGGTGTTCACCAAGATCCTGCCCACTTGAGGAAGGTACCAATGTGCGTCCAGTGTTACCTGGACGACATCCTGATTTAAGCATTCTCCTTCCAGGCAGCTCAGGCGGACCTGAAACACACCATTCAGGTCCTCCAACAACATGGCTTCTCGGTCAATTTTCAAAAAAGCCAGATGGTTCCCTACATTCAGGCTTCTGCACCTGGGAGCTGTCATAGACACCACAAACTGCATGGTCTATCTCTCCCAAGAGCGATTGGTCAGCATCAGGGATCTGGCTCGTTGGGTGTACAGGGACCGTACCGTTCCACTGGTCTTACTCTCCCAGCTCCTGAGAAAGATGGTTTCCTGCATAGCCGTAGTTCCTTGGGCCAGGCTCCACTTGCGGGACCTCCAATGGTTCCTCCTCCTATTTCAGCGGGTGAATGCCAGCGCATCCAACCGTCAGGGCAGGCTCCTGGTTCACATCCTCAGGTCTCTGCGCTGGTGGTTCTCACAAGCAATGACCAAGGGATCACCCTTCAAGGAACCGGACTGCATCACCATAACGACGGATGCCAGTCTATTCGGTTGGGGAGCCCATCTACAGTCTCAGTTTGCACAGGGCTGCTGTTCCCGCACAGATTTGAGACACAACATCAATTGGCTGGAGCTCAGGGCCATCCACTTAGCTCTTCGCCAATTCAGGCACTGAATCAGGTAATGTCACGTTCTGATTCTCATGGACAAGTGAAGGATCCTCCGAGGCACACGTCAATCATCAGGGGGGCTCCAGGTTCCTTATGTCTGAAGCACGATTCCTGGGTTCCTGGGCAGAGTCCAACCTGGCCTCTCTCAGGGCCGAACACATCTCGGGGGTCAAGAACCAGCAGGCAGACTTTTTGAGTCGCTCTACGGTGGACCCCTTGGAGTGGGGGTTGCATCCGGATCTGTTCTCTGAGATCTCCCACAGGTTCGGCCATCCAATCCTCAACCTGTTCGCATCGTCAGACAACGCCCAACTCCCCAGGTACTACTCCCGCTATTTTCTTCCGGGGCGGAGGGGATGGACGCCTTGCGGACCCTGTGGCCACAAGGTCTTCTCTACGCCTTCCCTCCCCTCCCACTCATACCGGCGACCATCCGCAAACTACTCTAGGAGCAGGCGGAAGTGATCCTCATGGCTCCGTACTGGTCACAGAGGCCGTGGTTTGCCGACTTGGTGAATCTTTCCCGGTCTCCTCCGTGGAAGATTCCTCCACATCGTGTGTCCTTACACCAGGGGACCCTCCAACACCTGGACCCTCAATGGTTACAGTTGACCGTCTGGTGCTTGAGCGTAGCATGACACAAGAATTATTTCCCCCGTGCACTTACCATGATTCAGGCCTCTCGTAGCACAGCGACCAATCGCATTTATGATTCTACTTGGAAAAATGTTTGCCATTGGTGTAGAAGGCGACAACTGGATGTATAAAAATTGACCACCCCTCAAATCATAGATTATTTTCTGGATGGTCTGGACAGAGGCCTGGCCCCTGCGACTATTCGCAGACAGGTGGCGGCCCTGTCAACATTACTCACTTGTGCGGATTCAGTTCCCTTAGCTCATCCTAGGATTCACGCCTTCATCAAGGGTGTGTGCAACACCAGACCTCCCGTGGTACACAGGTACCCCTCTTGGGAATTGCCTCGTGTGCTTCGAGCTCTAACAAAACCACCTTTTGAGCCCATAGCTACTATTCCGTTGCGGAACTTGTCTCTTAAGGTTGCGTTCTTAATCACTATCACGTCAGCCAGACATATCTCTGAGCTGGCTACCCTCTCAATCAGGAATGACCTTTGTATCTTTCACAGCGATCGGGTGGTCCTTTGGCTGGACCCCGCTTTCATGCCCAAGGTCAGCTCGCTCTTCCATAGGGCACAGGAAGTCATTTTGCCAAATTTTTGTCCCAATCCTTCCCATGACTTGGAGCGGCAGTGGCACACACTGGACATCCGCAGGCCACTGCAGCATTACATGAAGCGCACGGAGCCTTTTTGTCGATCTGAGGCTCTATTTATCTTCTTCCATCCGGCTTCTCTGGGACAGAAGGTTTCCGCTGGCACTATTGGCAGGTGGATCAGGGCTTGTATCGCGGAGGCATACCAGTCCTCTTCCCTGCTGGCTCCAAGTCATCTTACTGCCCATTCCACTTGCAGTGCTGTGACCTCTGTGGCATGGGCCACTCAGGTGTCCATCGAGATTTGCAGGGCTGCGACATGGTCCTTGCCCTCCCCATTTGTATGCCATTACAGGATTGACCGTTTCACTTCTGCGGACGCCTCCTTTGGTTAGAGGGTCCTTCAGCAGGTGGTCTCTGGGGATACTGTTCCGGCCTTATCTGTTTCCCACCCATCGGGACAGTGAGGCTTTGGTATGTCCCATTGGTGGATTCTCTATCTCCTGTACTGGAGAAGGGACGTTGTCTTACCTGAATGCCTTTTCTCAGTACGGAGATGGAGAATCCACACCCACCCTTTAGGTCAGTTAGGCCGAATTTAAGGGATTGAGAGCCAACACCTCATCCACCTTCAGCCACTTTCGCCCTCGTTAAGACTGGATCTCCTAGCAAGAGGGGGCGTGTCAAGTTTGGCTACTTGGTCTCAAGAGCAGGCAGACAGAGAAACCCATTGGTGGATTTTCCATCTCCGTACTGAGAAAAGGCGTTCAGGTAAGACAACGCCTTCTAGTTGGCTCCAAAATTGTCAGGCTGATATGCCCATACGTGAATGCATTATAAAGGAAGGTTACCTTTCAGCTTCTTCTTCAGAAAATTGAGTCCCGTGTCCTTCGTAGTAAGCTCGACCAAGGTTGTATGCAGCAGCAAATTTTAAATGTCTTGCTTTAGGAGAGTCAGAATTTAGAATCTTCTTCATATATTCAACTCCTTTCTTCTGCAGGTGAACCAAAGCAAAGAGTAGGTGATCATGTCAGGATATGACTCACTTGTGAACAAGCAATCTACTTGCATACCGGACCAAGTCATGAAAGTTTCATATTTGAGATGAAATGTTACAACATTTAATTGATGGAGATATGATTCCAACAGCAATTTCTATTGAGATGAAACCCAGAGGAGGTGTGCCTAGCTGAGATACTTGGTGTTTTGCAACATAACATTAAAGTGAAACATAAGCCGGAGTTTGATTCTGACCGGCTCAAGGTTGACCAGCCTTCCATCTTTCCAAGATCGGTAAAATAAGGACCCAGATTGTTGGGGGCAATATGCTGACTCTGTAAACCTCTTAGAGAATGCTGCAAAGCACTACGAAGAGATATATAAGTCTAAGTACTATTGCTATTTCACTTAAAAAGCAGTAGAATTTTCAGGAATAATTACAAGCAAGAAATTTTGTATAAATGAACTCTTTTATTAAAAGGACTTTTCAGTTCAGAAAATCATAATGAAGGTTTGGCCCTGAAAATTAAGCTATTGCTGCCCTAACGAAAAACATCTTAAACCAGTTGGGGAAAACCTTCCATATTAATAGCAATCTCAAATCTGTCCTCTGCTATTCCTGACTCCAAATTTACAGATACCTTGGCAGATCCAACATAGGTCGTGTGGCCTATATGTTTTGGAGATGGTTGCCTCCGTAGATTTTCATAAACCACTTGTATGGACATTCATTTAAACTGATAGGTGCCTACAGGGATCACATGATAGGTGCCTACAGGGATCACACGAGTATGATTTGTCAGCAAATTACAAATCCATCTAGTGGTGATGCTATCTGTCCCACATTTTTCTAGCTTACTAAGAAGTTTTGGCCTACTTTGTCAAATGCCTTACTGAAATCCAAGTATACTATGTCCACTGCATTTCACTAGTCCACTAATTTAGTCACTTTATCAAAGAATGAAATAAGATTTGTTTGGCATGATATGTTTTTGACAAACCCATGTTGTCAAAATGGACTATTCATGCAGAAGATTCCCACAGTCATTGTAGTTTTGTATTTTGCAGATGCCATATAGGCAAGTCAATATCTTGTAGACTTGTAGCTACCTCCCATGAGAGGAGAGAACTTCATATATTGAACCATGGAATTAAACGATTTGCTGTTTCATCCCCTTTGCATTTTTCTTATTCAGAATTTGTGCTACTGTTGAATAATAAATGTACACTGAGAGAAAGAATTATTTGATCCCCTGCTGATTTTGTATGTTTGCCCACTGACAAATGATCAGTCTATAATTTTAATGGTAGGTTTATTTTAACAGTGAAAGACAGAATAACAACAAAAAAATCCAGAAAAATGAATTTCAAAAAAGTTATAAATTGATTTGCATTTTAATGAGTGAAATAAGTATTTGATCCCCTATCAGCAAGATTTCTGGCTCCCAGGTGTCTTTTATATAGGTAGCGAGCTGAGATTAGGAGCATTCTCTTAAAGGGAGTGCTCCTAATCTCAGCTTGTTACCTCTATAAAAGACACCTGTCCACAGAAGCAATCAGTCAGATTCCAGATTCTCCACCATGGCCAAGACCCCACTGTCAAACATGAGATGGAAACATTATGCTTTAGGGGTGTTTTTCTGCTAAGGGAACAGGACAACTTCACCACATCAAAGGGATGATGGACGGGGCCATGTACCGTCAAATCTTGGGTGAGATCCTTCTTCCCTCAGCCAGGGCATTGAAAATGGATCATGGATGGGTATTTCAGCATGGCAATGATGCAAAACACATGGCCAAGGCAACAAAGGAGTGGCTCAAGAAGAACATTTAAGGTCCTGGAGTGGCCTAGCCAATCTTCAGACCTTAGTCCCATAGAAAATCTGTGGAGAGAGCTGAAGGTTTGGAGCTGAAGGCCAAACGTCAGCCTCAGAACCTTAATGACTGGAAAGAATCTGCAAAGAGGAGTGGGACAAAATCCCTCCTGAGATGTATGCAAACCTGGTGGCCAACTACAAGAAACGTTTGATCTCTGTGATTGCCAGCAAGGGTTTTGCCACCAAGTACTAAGTCATGTTTTGTGAAGGGGTCAAATACTTACTTAAATCAATGTATAACTTTTTTGAAATGCGTTTTTGTGGATTTTTTTGGTTATTATTCTGTCTCACTGTTAAACCTACCATTAAAATTATAGACTGAGCATTTGTCAGTGGGGAAACGTACAAAATCAGCAGGGGGGTCACATAATTTTTCCATCACTTGTATGTATATAAATTATGAAAATTAATGAATATTTACTTTCTGGTTACAACTTACAGAATTTGGAGGAGTTCCCAATCCATCGTAGTACATTACACCCAACTGATACATGGACTGAAAATCTTTGTTTTGTTCAAATTGTAATAATGCGTCTTCATAACGTTTCTGCACCAGGCACATAGAAAATCAAATATTTAGGATTAAATCAGCTAGTAAATCTTACAAACTGCTGAAGCGTTCAGAATAGTATTCCTATCTAGATACTAAATTCTTAATTTAAAATAATTAAAAGGGTGACTAAGCATCTTAGAAATTTGAAATTAAGTGCATTAAGGACAGTAGTATTTCATCAAATTCAAACAATAGTAGGACCTGAAATGATAGGTAAGTATGTTCAGAAGAAAATGCTTATAAGATATATTTATACCTGATTCCTTAGTTCCTCAGAACATAAACAAAAGCCTAACAGCAAATAGGTTCCTGGATGGAAACCTTGCAAAAGAGTAAAATGCTTGGATCCAAATTCTTGATCTGCATCTGCTATAAGATGTGCAAATTTCTCTACTGAAGAAGATATTCTGGAAACTATGTTGGAGAAAGTATGCTTCTTTCTATTGGGTGCTAGGGAACATTAGTAGGAGATTGTTATTGCACCCAAGCATCCAATCGCCTTGGCCGCTATATGAATAGCGCAGACTAATTAGGCCATTGTTCTCATTCTACATGATTTCTATGAAATGAACGGCAGCATCCTTGTCGGCATGTTTGTTGAGTAGATCTTTGACTTTTCTGTGTTAAAAAAGAGGTGGTTGTGCAAACCTTTCTTTGTTAGTGACTCTGGATTCCTATTGTCAATCAAACCTTGCAGCATCCAACAACCCAAGCAAGCATGAGAAATGGTGGGGAATGCTTGGGAACTAAAGTTTTAGCAATATAAGTCAGTGCCATATGCTGTCTGCTCCTGGGCTAGAATATGAATGCATAAACTAAGACCACACATAGCAGTCTGCCAGTATTTGCAACCAATATTTATTGAACAAGACATACAGGCCTGATATACTAAATCAAATACAGGACTATGTGAACCAAGCCAGTAGGGTAATTTTCTATATTCTTAATTACACTAAAATCAACTATTTTCTCAAGCTTGAAGCTATTCTACTGTGTTGGAAATATCATACTCCCCAGCTAGTAGGACCAGTGGAGTTGGGAATTATAAATGCTACTGTTTCTGGAGAGTACCACATTGGGGAAATGAGTTCTAAAATATTGGCATCTGAACTTGTCCTTAATCCTTGCTTTTGATGCTGTCTCCCTCAAGTATTCTTTACTTTCTTTTAAAAGTTGTACAGTTTCACCTCTTCAAAATAAAGTTGCCCTTTGAGAAAATATGCCAGTGGCTCCCCATCTTTGATTCGATTTTCCAGAAGTTCTTCAGCCTTTGCAAGCAGAAAACTATGATCAGAAGCCCCTGTTTAAAAACAGAGACACAGCTGTGGTTGTTTATGAAATAATCAACATATAAAGCAGATGTGGAGAAGCTTTTTGGACCAGAAAATTTATTTTTTTCTTCATAGGCATTTGTTGAAGCTGCATGTCAGTTATAGGTGGATGTGAATTAAACTCATTTATAACGAGGGATGGATGAACAGAAGAAGTAGCGTGAGGAGGATACAAGGAGTTGGATCCAGAGGCCTGGTGACTTGATTAAGTCGGCAAGTAGACACAATTTAGGGGTGCCATCCTGATTGTATTAAATAAAGTCATGTTAAAAGCTCAGTTCACATCTCAGTTCTGTTATTTTTTCCTTCAACTCTGCTTTTTTCAAGATCCTGTAGGGAAAGAAAATGGCCCCAATCCAAAGATAATTGAGCACAACATGTAACTATGCAGATGGTTACTTAGTTTTGAAAATACTGATCATGCTGGGAAAGAAAAGAGTTACATTTCCCCTCTCCTTACTTGCTACAACTCTCAATGCTGATTGCATTATCTGTCAGGAAATATACATGCAAATGCAGTCCATCATTCATTGTACTACGTGGATACCATATTTGTAGGTGGAATCCTTCAAGAGGAATCTTACCCAGGAAGCTTGGATTTTCTGCTTTACTAGGTGCCTAAACTTTAACATTATTTGAATGTAAACTTGACAATGAAATGAAACAAAAAGAAAAAAGCCTCCAAATGAAATACAACCTGAAGTCATTGATTACATCAATAGTTGTTAATTGCATGTCAAAATACAAAAAATAGACACAGAGCAACACTCTATCAAATGTGTTGCCACTTATATAACTGTCCCTCTATTTGTTGAAGGAAAGTATTACAAAATAAACTGCAGTACCATAAGGGGGAAGTGATGTATATTCCATTATTTTCTAAACAAATTCTATGAAATATAATTCCTCAACAAAAGGTCAATGCTTTGCTGAGAAGCCCTGTGGTGCTATAGATATGTCTGACCCTGCAGAGCTATGCATATAGTAGAGGAAGAGATGTAGGGTGGTTTACACTGAGAACTAAATCAAAAGGATCAAATCTAACTGCTACGGTTTTATTACTTTGTTTAGCTATTTAATTAAACCAGAATTTTATCCCATGTATAATAATTACCCAGAATTTTCTGAGCAGTGTTTTTGTTCTAGCTGCGAGTAATAGAGAAGAGGGAGAAAAAAGCATGATTCCCTACCTGGAAGATTAGCTCATTTATATTATAGAGAGAGGTCAGCAGCATGATCCCTCTATCTTTCTTGAGAAAAAGAACAGCCATTTTAAAAAAGACAATCTATGACACTGCAAAAAGCTCTCTTCCTTTTCTTGGCAGAGGTTCTGTCTGTTTATAGCTCCTGTAATTTCATTCCTCCATTTGTTCAGGAAACAAGAGTGTGGCTTCTTATAATTCAAGTACTATGAAAGTATCCCTTCACTTTATCCCAACCACGTGATAAAAAATGAAGAACTGTGAAAGCTAGAATGTGTATTGTTTGTTACCTTGACGGGATAGCCATTGTAAACTATCCAATTCACTACTGGATTCCTTTAAAATGCACTGGAGAACAGTCTCAGTACTATGTTCACGAGGCAGAGGTTCACTGGTCGGCTTCATTTTTCTCTTTTATATTATTCCAATCCAGTCTGTAATAAAAACTGAGAAACATTCTCAAGCTTGAGAAATGGTTACTTGCTTCCCCTTTAATTCCCATTTTCCTTAGGATACCAGTTTTTTTTTTTTAAAGAATTGCTTCTTGGACTGATTTTAATTATTTCCCATTGACCTCATTGGGTAAGCATATTTACTTACTTACTTACTTATTCATCAAATTCATGATTCTGGATTGCTATCAGTGTTAAAATATAAAATCACAAAAAAACCAGACAAACAAAAAACAACACATATAGAAGCAGTATTCATGGTTAAAAACAGATCCACTAGTCACAAGTTAACCAAACTTAACCAATGCACTCAGCCACACTCCTGATGATAAAGAACTGACCATACGTAGGTAGTCCCTGGGTAATGATGGCAATTGGGGCCAGGATTGCCTGCATAAATGATGCAGTCCTAAAGTGGAATGTCATTGTTTAGTAATGGCAATCTTGGCAGTTCCTGTGATGTAATTGGAGGGTTGTTAAGTAGGATGAACAGAATGTCAGATAAGGAACATAGGGATGGGAAGTGCCATGGGGTGGGTGGGATGCCAGGGACATCCTCTGACAGCCAGCACAGGCGGTACACTAAATGAGGAATGCCAGGAAAGGGCCTGGGTGTCTTGGCTCTTAATTTAGCACCCATACTACTACATTGTTGCCTTATATTCTAATTGTGATTAATGGATTGCAGCAAAATATGCATTGTTTTTAACTCTAGTATACAATTCTACTTTGATTTTTTATTCATTGTATTACATCTCACCTCTCTTCCAGAGGCTCAAAGCTCTTCCCAGTATATTCAGAGACTTCTAATTGTATATTACTGGAACAAAAAGGAGGAAACTCCTTGACTTCCAAAATTTTGACTATAGATAATTTCTAGAATTACAAGATTTTCAAGAAGGAGCAACAGTGGAGGAAAAACAAACTTAGCAGTTTTTGCCAATTTCACATTATAGCCAGTCCTTGGCATATCTGCCTAGTGATTCTAAGAGCTATTTTACACAAAATCTACATATTCTTCTATTTATTATGTTTCCATTCAAATGCATGTCATCTGAAACTGACTGATAGATTTCTTTTGGGGAACAGAATACAACCATAAATTGCTTTTTACTTACAAGGCGAAGCTGAGTCTCACCACGGTTTGATGGGGTATTCCATTGGATTAGACGCCTAGGCTGCAATGAAAGGTATCTGTGCAAGACTAGTATTTTGTCCTTTATTAGAGGAAGATAGTTGTACACTCTCTAATCTTGCTAAGGATAAGTCACAAGTATTACATGCATATATTATTGGGCAGAAAAAACCTTAACAAATGGAAACCAGAAACACCTGAAAAGATGTTCAAAGTTTTAAGCATATTTGATTCTTTCATTCCATAAAATTTATTTTGTTCTCAACACCAAGGTGTTGGCCTAGTTTTAGGCAGAAATGTTTTGATGACAAACATGTTTAATCTTCTTGCCTCTTCCCCACAACCACAAATATCGGAGGTAAGCCAAGCAGAGAGAGAGGAACCAGCCCAAAGTCAACCAGCTGACTTTCATGCCTAGAACTCAAATCTCCTGATTTCCAGCCCAGTTCCTGAGCCGCTATGCCAAACTGGTTCTGGTGCACCAATACCAGAGAATACACACCTGTTCCTCCTCCGGGGTCATCATCTTCCCAGCTGCCCTTTGATGGTGACCCTTTGTGTCATTATGAGGCTTGTCTACTCTGGGACCCCCAGCAAGGAGCCCTTTGACCATGCTGGATCAAATCTAAAAATCTTCAGGCAACATGGCCTTGGTGATGGGCTGGAAGTGATGGAGAAATGGCCCAACATAGCTGGAAGGCTAAAGGATAGGGAAGAAGTCCTTCGGAGTGACTGCATCAGGATATTTCTGTACTCTGATGTCCGAGATCGCCAGAGCTCTTCTAAGGGCAGTAAAAATGATTACGATCTCGCTGGGTCACATACACACACAGACACACACACCTTTCATCAAAGCTGGACTAGGGCACCGCATGAGTTAACAGTTGGGCTCTCGCTTTTTAAAGCCCTCTCGATAATCGTTACTAGGAAACATGTTACTATATTGCTGACAAAAGCGGAGGGGCAGGGATAAAAAAGAGAAGAAAGGAACAAAATGAGCCCGCCCGATTCAATTCCCATGAATTGTGACTCACTGGATTCACCGGCGGTGCCCATCGCGAATTGCGCCCTCCGGCGAGTAGTCGCAGAGAGGCGAGACAAGCACGCGTCGCTTAGCAACGCAGGTACCAAGCGTTTGTCCAAAAACCACGCCCTGCCATCGCCCCGCCTCCTTCTCTTTCACGGCCGCGGGAAAGAGGGTAAATGAGCATGTGCGCACGCTATCAGAGAGGCGTGGACAGCGAAAGGAATGAAAGGCTCATCATTGGGTGTTCAGTCTCGTCAACCGGGCACTTGAGCGGAAGAGAAGAGTTGCTCTTTCTAGAGCCCTGTGGTTCAACTTTTGCAACATTCAGATGTTTGGATTTCAATTCCCAGAATTCTCCAGTCAGACATGATGCACGCCGGTCCTCGTCCTCCAACCCCTGCAATACAATAGAGCAAGCAACTCAAAAAATAGTAGATACTTCTCCCAAACGCGTATACAACATTTGATATAGTCTTGAAAACAGTCTGAAAGAGTGGTGTGAAGAGGTGACCTTGTAAATGGAAAGAGAGAGGAACTCAAATGCCAAAGATGACAGTAAAGACAAGAGTCCCTCTGAGCATAAGCAAATTGCAAAAAAAAAAAAAGGAATCTTTTTGGCTTGTCCTAAATGGAGGAATCCTTGTAAATGGAAAGGAAGAGGGACTCAAATACCAAACAATAATGAGGGAGAAATACAGGAATCCCCATTTATACTTGATAAATATTGTCTGAAATAATAGCAATCTAAAAATCAAATGAGAAGTAGAACTTGGGAGATATGATTACAGTGCTCAGCAGAATCATGGTACTTTTAAATTTTGTTGGTAGCAGTTTACTTTTTTTTTATAGTTTGTTTTATTTCATTACTGATTTTAATGAGCATCCAGCAATAAAAAGGGAACAATATAAAATGTATAAAAAGAACCATTCCAACATCACAAATTCAAAAGTAGCCACAACACTGACAAGTTAACTGGGCTGGAAGAGAAATTTTTTCTTGCGCTATAACCACAGAACTGGGAGTAGTTTATCTTTACATTCATATTTAAAAATTAAGTGCTTCAAGCTAAAAATTAGTTGTTAGATAAATGCAATGATATCATATAAAAACAAATTTTGATTGCTGCTTTCACCAGAAGTTGATCTTCACCTGAGGGCATTGTACCTATTTTTTTAACAGATAATCATTACCTTGAACATGTTCATTCCCTTGTAATAAACACATGCTAAAGTTTTGAGGCATTAATACAGGTAATCCTCAACGTGACATAAAAACTGAGCCCCAAATTTCTGTTGGTAAAGGATACATTTGTTAAGTGAATTTTGCCCCATTTTACGACCTTTCTTGCCACATTTCTAAGTGAATCACTGCAGGTGTCATGTTAGGTGATTCTGGCTTTCACTTGTCAGAAAGTTGCAAACGATGATTACATGACCCCAGGACACTGCAACCATCATAAATATGAATCAGTTGCTAAGCATCTGAATTTTGATCACGTGACCATGGGGATGTCGCAATGACTGTGAAAAATGGCCATAAATCACTTTTTTAGTGTTGTCGTAACTTTGAATGGTCACTAAGCAAACTGTTGTAAGTCAAGGACTACCTGTAATAAGCCTCTATAACAGTGGTGGCGAACCTATGGCACGCGTGCCAGAGGCAGCATTCAGAGCCCTCTCTGTGGGCAGACAGGCCATGCCCTGGAGATGGCAACCGTCCCTCTTCAACCAGCTGCCCACTAACTTGCCGAGGTCCCACATGGCCGGATGCATCCCAGCACCCATGCGCTCGCTGGCCTCTGTGTGCAGAGGTTGATGGTGTCAGGCAGCAGCTGCCCCTGCCCCACCTTGCCCTGTGACAATGGCACCCCCACCCTGCCTCGCCTTGCCTCGCCTCACCCCACAGGACAAGCCTCCTGCCCACCGCCCACCTGGCAGAGACCCCCTGGATCTCCCCCAAGTCTGCCTGACCCCCACAGGCATCCCTCCCCACGAGCAACATCGAGGTGATTACACCCACATTGGCCACAGCCACCCAATCTGCCATGACCACCACAGCCACGCCCACCCAGTGGGCTATGTCCACCTGACACCCGGTGATAAATAAGTGGGTTTGGGGTTGCAGTTTGGGCACTCAGTCTCTAAAAGATTTGCCATTACTGCTCTATAATGTTTTATTGGAAGCAAGTAGCATTTTAGTGCTGTTAGGCTTGAAGTGTATAAATAATCTAGTTCCACAGTGTACAATCAAAATATGGCCTCCCTAGCGATACATGGTGAATTCTTTGCAGTTTGGTGAAATAATCATTTTCTCCAAATCTAGATAGCTACAAAAAATAGTGAAAAGCCCTAAGGAACCGAAGGGGAATCAAACTGTTTTTCAGTGCTGGCCTAATTTTCAGCAAGTAAAGTGAGACACCTCAAATTCCCAGTTTTAGTTGCCATATGAATTGGAGCTTCTGTAAGCCAATTCTAAACAAGAACCAGAGCCTGTTCATTTTTTCTTTCCTAGAACATGATGGAAGAGGTCAGTACATCTCAGTTAAACAAACTAGAATGTGTCAGGAGGGTCAGCCTGATGGATGGCAATGTATCATATGCATACTTTAATACTTGGAACCCATGGCAAAAAGAGGCCAGTAAGTGAAACTTTAAATTATTCTCCTCTCCCAGTGTTTAGCATTAGACCAGGGGTTCCCAACCAGGGGTACTTGCATCCCTGGGGTGCAAGAAAATATTACAGGGAGTGCGGAAACTTGGGTTTTCAAAATTATAGTGTATATGCATAATTTGTTGCCATTATTTCAAACTTTTGTAAGGGGTGCGAGAATATATCAGAAGTGTTCTAGGGGTGCGGGGTCTAAAAAAGGTTGGGAACCACTGCATTAGACAATATCTAAATAAGCATTACCATTTTATTATAAACTAGACTAGACAACACGTAATCTGTTGGACCATCGTTTCAGAGATATTTGCTTACCTGAACAGAGAAACATGATGACCAAGGGCCAAAAAGCAGTGGAAGAGTGACCAACTTCCAATTTCTTGCTGTCTTGACCATGGCAAACTGCCCTCTGGATCCGGTGATAGGATTGGATCTACATACCTCTGGAGTGTTTAGGGCAGGGCTGGTCTACCTGATCTCCAGCAGCCACAAGAGGGGCTAGTATACATGGCCTCCAGAGGTCTAAGTCAGGATCAGTTATTGAATCTCTGAGTAGCAGCATAGCAGCAATGAAGTAATCTCAAATTTGCCAAATTTCAATCCCACAGGAATCATGACTCCCAGATTTTGAGTGCATTCTCTAAATTAACCCATTTGAGGTACCTTCGTTCAAAAATTGTTGCCTATGATACACTTTCTCCCAGTTAAAGGTTACAGACATGAGCGTTTTAGTAGTATATAGATGTTAGTCATAATGTAGGCAATCTCAAGACAATCAAGCTTGGCTTAGCCCTTTTTTATAGTACCCACAAAAGAGAAGCAGTGGCATGAAGTATGTTTCTCTTCTGGTTTCCTTTATCTTATATAAAGGAGAGAGAAACATCTGCTGTTAAAATGATAACATAAAGCTGGTCTTATTGATTTTAAGGGACTAAACGCCGTATAGTCAAAAACATCTTGGACTTCAAAAAAGTAAATTTTGATAAACTTAGAATGAGGATTGTTAGAATTACATGTTAGAAAAAGCTAATGGATAAGAAGGATGGGAGTTTCTAAAAAGGGAGTTAGCAAACATTTCCCGTGAGTGTGTCCATATATAGGGGAAGGAAGATAGCAGAAGAAATGTGGCTACACAATATGCTTAGAGAAAGTCTGGAAATCTTGATGAACATATATAGGAAACTAGAAAGAGGAACAGAGCATGAAGAAAGAGGAACAGAATGAAGAAATAGTGCATATTTATAGCCTAGAATTGTAGAATTTATGTCAGAAAAGCTAAGGATCAAAATGACCTAAGGCTTAGTGAAGAATGCTAATAACAAAAGTTTTTTTTTCAGATATGTTCAAAATACGAACAAGAGAACAGAAGTTAAAGCATAGCTCCTCAACGCAGATGATAACAGAATAATAACAAAACTACTCCACTTCTTCTTTGGCTAAGTCTGTTTTGAGAAAAGTATATGCTTTCCACTGGGCAACTGTGAGGACCTGATTGAAATTTTCTACCTTGAGCTTGTTGGAAACAGAATAAGTGATCTTGAATTAGTTCGGATCTTCAGGCTAGATGTATTGCATATGAATCTGAAGTACAGTATAATGATCATTAAAAATCAGCCTGAATTTATTTGGAAGAAATCACATTTCACTTTGGGTAACTTCCTAAATATATTGCAGGAACATATCTAGATTTCTTCGAAGTGATGACAAGATATATTAGCAAGCTAGATGACTATCAGCTGGATGACATGTCTATTAGGCAGACTCATTGCTGGTTTGAAAGAGTGCTTGGAAATGGTGCTGTCATTTAGAAAGGTGAATGATGCTGGAGGGCTCAGTCCTAGGATTTCACACATTTTAATTAATAGCTTGTGGAAAAGGATGGAAGATTCTGACCAAGCACTACTTTATCAAATTTGTAGATGACGGCAAAATGGGGTGTGATAGCAAATAGAGTAGAAAGCAATAAAAATTCAACCTGATTTTGATACAATAAAGAAATAGGTTGAAATAACAGACTGAAATTTAATACAGGCAAACAAGAACACTTAAGAAAATTTATGGGATGGTGGATACATGACTTGGTAATAATATATGTGAAAACAATCCAGGAAGAATTATAGATAATCACAAATACTACTCATATATAATTCCAAGATAATTTGTTCTCTTGTGAAAGACAAATTGGGATCAGTACTACTTTTAGAAGGACAACATTGAATTGAAGCTGTCTTACCAGAAGAGATTAAGGGAGAGATGTAGGTTTAGCCTTGACAAAAGATAATTGAAGAAAGAATAACACTTACAAGTAGCCGAGGAGGCAGCAGATAGAAGATTAACATCTGAACTCCATCATCCCAGAGAGCCAGATACAAAATGATGTTGCAAGATTTTGGCAGATTGCTAGAAAAACTTCCCAACAAAGTAGTTCAGTAGAGAAACAAATTGCTGAGGAAGGTGTGCTTATCTTGAGCTGTCTGAAAAATAAGTTAACTTTATGTTTCTGTTTATCATTAAAGTTGCTGTTTGCAGATGCTGCTTTATAAATTCAGTATATAATGATCACAGTCAGTTTGTAATAACTTTTATCTTTCCAGTTTTAAAAAAATAAATTTTGGCAGGCCACATTAAATATTAAAATTTTAATTTCTCATAGATTTATTCTTTGTTGACTGGCTTCAGTTTATTCATCTAAGTTCCCAACCAATTGATTTAAGCTTCTTGGACATTAAATCTAGCCTGTAAAAATCCAGATGAGCACCAGTGGGTGTAGGTCTACAGACCAAAGCAGATGTTTAGGAGTAAAGTCTACTGAAGTTTAGGTAAGCAGATATAAGACACAGTATAAATTTTAATATGCATTGCATCTTTAATATATGAAGAGTGCTGAACTCTTCTGAAACATCTTGCCAAGACAGGCTGAAGGAAGTCTGAAATCCACTCAGGAATTAACTGGTGTGTAGATGTAGGAATATAAAGGGAGGAGTTGGAAAGCAGAGCCATCAACTGTGGTTGACTGTTGTGTATGTGTGATACGTGCCTGGTTGGACAGTGCTGCATGGCTGCTCCACCTGTCCTCAGTATTTCCTGCTCCCTCCTATCTCATAAGCATAACAAGTTGAGAAAAGCCAATCATCTCCCCAGCCAAACAGACTTGCATGTGCTCTTGTTTGTGTACGTGCAGAAACCAGTTTGCTGCAGAGAGGGCGGGACAGCAGCCAGAGTGAGTATTCATGAGCTGACGCTGCCAGTCTTGGAATCAGATGCACTAGCATGCACCACAAAGCTGTGCTCAAGAAGCCTACACCGGGGTTTTCTTGTGATAAGTCTACCAAAGACAAGCAAAAATGCTACTTTGGGATAGCAACTCAGAGGTAAGGAATATATATATGTTGCCATAGGTTATTTTTTAAGCAATTTTCCAACTGTATTGCTTGTACAGTTGTACCATTCTCCTAGTAGAGCTCACAAAATCATTAAATTCTGAAAGGGTGACTATCTTGAAAATTGCACTTATTTTATAATGCTTGCCAATTCTTACTCCTTTGTTAATGAAAGAGCAGTGAATTACACAAGGACTATACTTCAAAAGCTCCTCTGTTTTATAGCCGCATGGTCCGAGTCCTCTGTTGGAAGCAGGGACTGAAGTCAATCTAGCTGCTACTGCCTTTGTTCAGTCACCAGCTCATCTGGCAGCTGGTGGAGGCCATGCCTTCTTCCTGCTTTGGCAACTACAGACGGGAGCCAATCTGAACCAACAGGTACATTTTTAACTTTTCAGACCATGGAGCTCCAATGGAGTCTGACTTTTCCATTTTATGTTGGAAGGAACAGCCACTGTCTGAGACTATGAACAAGGCACATGTAACATGAAGTCACACCTAAATAGTTTAGAACATTCTGCTTTACTTTGGGTAGGATTTCCATTGAGTCTGCATTAATACTAAATGAAGTATCATGGTCCTGGGAATAGAAAAATGTTTTGTTAAGATATGTTAGCATCTTGTTTCCAGGATTATTTTTCAAAAGATAAAAATAAACCTATTATTTTCAAACTAAGTTTGGTCATAAGTTTTAGTCGACCCAATCCAGAAGAGTGTTGTTGTTTTTTAGCTCATCCTAATGGATATTTTTTTTTTTAGCTTGCAAATAGTATCTACTGAGACAAGATTTTGGGATTGACAATTATATAACACCTGAAATTAAACTTCTTTAACCACCAACATTCTTTTAAATATTAACACTGAACAATGATGAAGTGATTGGATTTACAAATAAAGTATTTATTTTTTATTTAGGATTGGAATGGAGAAGCTCCCATCCATAAAGCAGCTAAAGTTGGGAGTTTGGAGTGTCTCACTTTACTTGTTGCCAGTCAGGCCAACATTGAGTAAGTGCATCCCATACTGGTTTCATCAAATAAATTAATTGGTTTTGCAATAAATTATATGTTCAATTGAATGTAACCTTTTGTCCTAATCTGATTTTCTGAAAGGCTGCTTGTGGCAAGCTACTCAAAATGTGAAAAAGGTTGCCTAAATTGTTCAACTTTGAATTTTAGACTAATTTACAAAAATATTACTTTTGTTAATTGGGTGCATGAAGTTTCAAATTATTTCTTTTCCGAAGAGGATAGATGTTTAGGCTTCAATTCAGCACAAGTGCATTTATATTGAGAGACTTTAACATTATATATAACTTGTGCTATTGGTTTCAACAGAACAAGCTAGTTACTCACCAAGTTTAAAATGCTACTTATGCATATGCAGAAACAAATCTGCTTGCAATTTGTTTCAATGGAACTTATTTCCAGTGTAATACAATGCATGGTTTTTTTTAAAAAATCCTCCATGGACTACAAAGAAGCTTATCAATAGACATTTATACATTCGGGCGGTAGTGTTTCAACTCAACATTTTATCCAATATTTAAAAAAATAAAATTTTATGATGGTCTAATTTTATGAGAAATGCAAGATTGCCAATCAAATGAATTGATTTTCTTTTAAATGTGTGCTTCAGCTTGCGCAATAATAATAGTCAAACAGCAGAAGACCTTGCCCTGGCTTTGGGGTTTTTGGAGTGTGCCCAGTTCCTCATGAAAGTGAAACAAATTCAGAACAAGAAAGCAGGAGCACAGTGTAATTCCTTGAGTGACAATGATGAATCCATCCATACCAATGACTCCAAAATGCAGAAAGGAGTATGTGAAAGGAATAGACTTGTAAACAGAAAGAGAAGGAGATCAGATGGTAAGTATATTACACAGGGACAGAACTAGTTTAGTTAGAATCTAGGGGATGTTGATCAGGATACTCCCAATCCAAAATTTCAAGCAGACCATGCTATCTAGTCCAGATTCTGTTAGTTGTGCACCATACTTCAGGAAGAATATCTATAGCCAGGACTTTGATCACCATGCCTGCCTTTTGGAGGCCAATCACTATTGCCGCAGATGCCCTGCTTCATGTGTGTGTGTGTGTGTGTGTGTGTGTGTGTGTGTGTGTGCACGCGTGCATGTGTGTGTGTGTATATAAATTATGTCCATTCTTTTGAAGCCAATGACTGTCATTGCTAGGAGTATTATTCAGAAGCAAGTCTAATTGATTTTTAGAGGATTATAACCAGTGGTGGGGTTCAGCTAGTTCGCACCACTTCAGCAGAACCGGTAGCTAATTTTTTGTTGCCCAGGCCCAGAATGGACTTCCAGAAGTGGCATCCACAAAGAGAACTAGTTGTTCACACATTTGAATCCCACCACTGATTATAACTACTGTACAGTAGGGTTAGGGCTCATATCTGAGACTGGTAGCTTCCCCCCCCTCAGTCGAGGTAGTCCTCGACTTACAACCAGAATAGAGCCCCAAATTTTTGTTCCTAAGTGATAACATTTGTTAAGTGAATTTTGCCCCATTTTGCAATCTTTCTTGCCATAGTTATTAAGTGAATCGTTGCAGTTGTTAGTGACACGTTTGTTAAGTGAATCTGGTTTTCCCATTAACTTTGCTTGTCAGAAGGCTGCAAAAGAGGATCACATGACCCTGGCATACTGCAACCATCGTTAAGTGTGAGTCAGTTGCCAAGCATCTGAATTTTGATCACGTAACCATGGGGGTGCTAAAACAGTTGTATGAAAAATGATCATGTCATTTTTTTCAGTGCCATTTAACCTCAGTCACTAAACCAACTATTCTACCTGTAGTTGTAGTCTTATGGATTTTTTAAATAGTTTTTTATACCCATTGTTTTCTCTTTAAGTTTTCTATTGATAATTGCCATGTTTAATGTGGTATGCAGCACTCTAGGAATTTTAAAGTGCTGTTTAGGATTCAATTTTGTACATGTTGATTTAAAGATAAACTCTGAGCTCAATGAAAGTAATTCTAGACATCAATATAGTGTTATTATTAATATTTTTTGTACATTGTCTAAGTGAGTATTTTTTGGAAAAGTTATTAAAATATTGTGATGGATTGAAAGAAGTTGGATTATTATGGGAGGAAGAAACATAATAATGTTTTACATAATCCAAAAGAGACCAGAGCTGAACTGTTACCTGCCCAGAATTAATTTCTAAGACTGGAATCTGTTATACTGAAATTAGATGCTGTATATATGTTATAACACATGCTTAATTTGAAACAGGTTCTACAACTGAAAAACAAATCTTTCCATTTATACAGATTTGAACTCGAGTCATGTGAAAATGAAGATGCGTGAGAAATACAAAGCTCTGCAAAGAAAAACATGAATATAAAAGCTCAACGCAAAGTAGTTTGAACAATGCCTTCCAAGAAGGCGAGTGTGTTCTTCTTGAAGATCTTTTCATATAATTCCTGCATGTGCACAATAATATACAGTAATATTTTTCTACCACTGATTCAAGTATCATCGATTTTACGACTGGTATACTGATGTTCTTTACTCATGTGAACACACACATAAAGCAGTAGACAGTATACTGACAATCAACAAATTGTTCAGATTAAACAAATATGTATTTGTTGATAAAATTGTGTTCTGTAGATGTGCCTCCATCTGTAAATTTTGTATAGAACCTTTTTGTAATAACTTGCACGGTAGCTATAGCTTCTTACTTCTGTTGCTGTAAATCTGAGATCGCAAACCTATTCAACATTACGCTGGAAGCATGCCACTTTCAAAAGACATATAGAAAGGAGCTGTTAATATTCGATGACAAAAGCAGAAAGCTATTCAACATTAATAGGATATAATCAGATTTTATTTGAAAAATAATCTTATACATAATTTGTGCTCTGAAATACTAGAGCAGTAATTTTATTTCAGTGGGGTTGTAAGAAGCATGATATTAAATACAAATAAATCATATATACAGAAACCAACTAGTTTATCACACTTATAATTCAACATAGGCATTCAAATACATTTTGGTCGCTGAGGTAGACACAGATTATAATAAGCATCTTTGTTCCAGAAATCTGGACCCTTCCAGCCACACCAGCCCTGTAAAAAAAGGGAAGACAAAATGAAATTCAGTGCTTTAATCCATTGCTGGTGTATTAGTGAAAGAACTGGTTTTATGTATCCGTATATGCACAAAAGCTAAATTTAAAGCTATAAATAATTACAGCTACTCAGCCGCAGATTTATGCATTTTGAAACAATAAGATTGTATTTGGTTTATGTCTTTATTCACTAGTGTGTGTTTACAATATAAATATGGCCAATAAACTCCCAATTATATATAAAATAAAGCTATAAAAACAGAAAATAGTATTTGCCAGAGACAAACTCTTACAAACTGAATTAGGGTAACAAATTGCCAGAAAACTACATTGAATTGATAGATGTGCCTTTGAATTCATCAAGAGTAGACCACAAATAAAGGGGATATTAACTGTTTATAGTTTAGTAAAATAGAATAAAAATTATTTAATATATTTATTAATATTAATATAACAGAATGTAACATAAAACAGTTTTTGCTTCCATTTCAATTGCCCACTATTAGGGATTGCATCTAAGTCAACAATGAGCTTATTCCAATACTTCATTGAAATAAGTTATTGAATTTATTTGTTTACAAGAAGAAAAGGTTAAGAATAAAGCAATATACAGAGCTTAATCAAAACAAGACACAATGTGTTTATTTTCTTAAAGCCACACATTCGCACACTATAAGCAATTCATTGTTTCCCACACTTTTAATGACAATTAGAAAACAAAAGAAAACTCCAAACGTGGAACAGTTTACCCAGATCTTTGCATGTGAGGGTCATCCTGGAATTATGAAAATGAGTGTTTTAAAACTGTTCCCACTGTGTAAGAGAAAAACTTACAAATAACTGTATACTGTTCTGTTATAAAGAAAAATATGTAAGTTATATGTATTTTAAAACTAGCTGAAGTTCAGGTTTATTAAGTTAAACTATTTCCTATATAAGGTATTTCCAGTTTCCACTGAAAATGTTTCAGCAATATTCAAGAGGATTTTGTGAACTTGATTGAATTGGTTTATGCGTTAATTTAAACAAAATATATGTTATCACAGTACAGTTATATATTTCTTTGACAAGACCGCTCTCCTATGTAGAAATTAAAATTGTGAATTTTATATAAAATACCAGTACATTTAAGAACAATGAATATGAATACAGTGCTTTTAATAAATCAAAATCTCTGGTACTTAAGTCAATTGTTAACTGAGTCTCACCTTTTCTAATATAACATGCAGATCTTCAGCGCCAGTGTAATGTGGATCCAGAATCAAAAATTTGATGTGCCCAGTGATCTCATTCCAAGCCACCCCTAATATAGTGTGTGCCAAGACTCCACCACCTGGGAAGGCAAGAGAAAAGATAAAGCCAAAGATAAAGTTGAAGCAGTGTGTTCCATGGCAGCTCATTACTAATGGGCCACCAATATATACAACTTATTTTCAGTGTCCTTTGTTGCATAATGAACATGTAAATGCTCAATGAGGGATTGCTTGGTGAAGTGGTCTCCTTCCTTTTAGCAAGAGAGAATGTCCATGAGGACTTTCTTTGGGATTAGATGTTGGCATGCACTTTGTATTTCACCCAATGTAAACAATCTTTGGGAATGGATGTCAACCTGGCTTCAAAGGATCATCCTTTTTTCAAGGGATCATCCTTGGAAAAACAATTAACTGTGATACAGAGAAGATACTTAACAGTACTACATCCTTCCCAACTCTTTCATTTGTCAAAACAAATAGCAAAAAAAACAATGTACGGATAATTTGTGCTTGGAAAATATATACAATTGAAAGCTATTCATTTCCCAAAAGCCATAGAAAAATCAATGTCAGATGCTCCATTATGTTTTATTTTGCCAAAGATCTTTTTTTCTTTAGGCACTGTAACACAGGAAAGGAAGGAAATCATAGGCCAGCAGGGTTTTTTCCTACCCCCAAGCTGCCTGAAAACAATCTAAGGACAATAAGCAAAAATAAAGCCATGGTTCTTAAGTCTGTATTTAATTTTTTTTTAAAAATGATTTTAATTAATTCAGTCTTTTAATTCTGCATTGTTATATATGTTTCCTCCAAAATATGCTGCAATGTCTTTATCATAGCTTATTTGATTGAAAGAGATTATTCATTTTGTAATTTACTTGCTTTCCACCCTACTAACGTAATAACTAGATGTAAATAAGATCAATCTTTATAGAGATTGTTTGACATTATTAGCCTATTTGTCCTTGTTTTTTCCCTTAATATAGTTTGAAAACTTGCTTTTTTGCTAACTGAACTTTCAAACATTTTTGTTATGATTATTGATATTAGCAGAATCAATTTCAACCAGCATGAAATTTCATATAAATAATGCCAATGAACTCCGTGATAATGAAATTCATTGCAGGTCTCTCTGCATTTTTACTATGAAAGAACTGACCAAAAATAATTCTGTCAATTGCTATAATCTCATTTAAAATTGAAGTTTAAATATAAATATAAGTAATGCAGAATTTCTAAGAATATAAAAGAAGGTGGGATAATTCTAAATAGACCAAAGAATACTGTATAAGCAAAAGATCAGTTCTTTTCCATCTTAATTTTTCTGCTTCTTGAACATTTAGCTTACTGTATTGACTCTGTAAACCTTAAATTGAACATTCAACTTACAAATTCAATTCTGTAGAACATTCAACCTTAAACTCAATTAACATGGAGTTGTAAATTCACATGTTAATTGAGAAACAAATCTTTACATTTAGTTAAATAAAAAGAAGAATGGTGCACACATTTATAGAATATCAAATGAGCATATATTTCAATGCCTGCAACATTTCAAAATGAAGTTGGAGGATCACTATGTTATCTGTAGGAGTGGAGAGTATATAGCTCTTCAGAAAATTTCTTAACTCCAGAATCATGGGTTGTTTTTTTTTTAAAAAAAGTGATTGAACATTCTAACATTCTAAAATAATATTGTTCAGAGGAATCAAGGAACAAATCAGGATTTTCAACCCACCATTTTATTCATAAACTGCCAATAAAATATTTTAAATTAAAAAAAAATTACCGATCATCACTGGTGTTCCTTCAATCTTGAAATGATTAGCAAGTTCTCTTCCTTGAGAAGCCAGTTCAGATCCCTGGCTATGGGAAAAAAAAAATAGCACTAATGCTACCACTAACCAGCATGAATGGTAATTTAGCACTGGTAATTTGAGAAAGGAATAATGAAATATAGCAACCCCCATTATCAGGTTCATAAATTAGAGCCAAATCAGATCCTCTCCATGTAACCATGGTAATTGTCACAAAAAAGTCGAGAATCTATGATGTTTTACCTATTACCCCTATAATATGATGCACAATTAATTCATTAGGTCTTAATCTATTTATTTTCTATATAGATCTTCCATCCAGCATTCCTTCCTTCCTTCCTCCTACCTTTTGTTCAGGAGCCTAGGTGGTATACATAAGCACACCTTCCTGTCATTTTTTTTCCACAAAAGCAAAGTAGGTTGGGCTAAGTGGGAATGACTGACCTAAAGTCACCCAGTGAAATTCTCTAGCTGAGAAGGGAACTGAACTAAGTCTTCCTGGTGCCAATTCAATATCATACAATACATCACACTGACTCTTACCTGGGCAATGTTGATATGGACCCACTAATATAAAGTTGTGAACGGTCCAAATGGAGAAGAGTTAGGTATGAACAGAGTCTACACCATATTCATTTGGCTATAATGAAAGTGGCAGAAAGTGAAGAGGAACTAAAGAGCCTCTTGATACAGGTGAAGAAGGAGAGTGCAAAAGTTGGCTTGAAACTCAACATTAAGAAAACCAAAATCATGGCATCCAGCCCTCTCAATTCCTGGCAAATAGATGGGGAAAAAATGGAGGTAGTGACAGATTTTATTTTTCTGGGCTCCAAGATCACCTCAGATGGGGACTGCAGCCAAGAAATTAAAACACGCTTGCTCCTGGGGAGGAAAGCTATGGCAAATCTAGACAGCATACTAAAAAGCAGAGACATCACCCTGCCAACAAAAGTGCGTATAGTCCAGGCCATGGTTTTCCCAGTTGCAATGTATGGCTGTGAAAGTTGGACCATAAGAAAGGCTGAGCGCCAAAGAATTGAGGCCTTTGAACTATGGTGCTGGAGAAGACTCCTGCGAGTCCCTTGGACTGCAAGGCGTTCAAACCGGTCAGTCCTAGAAGAGATCAACCCCGACTGCTCTTTAGAAGGCCAGATCCTGAAGATGAAACTCAAATACTTTGGCCACCTAATGAGAAGGAAGGACTCACTGGAGAAGGGCCTAATGCTGGGAAAGATGGAGGGCAATAGAAGAAGGGGACGACAGAGAATGAGATGGCTGGATGGAGTCACTGAAGCAGTAGGTGTGAACTTAAATGGACTCCAGAAGATGGTAGAGGACAGGAAGACCTGGAGGAATGTTGTCCATTTATTTATTTATGAGACTTACCGTATTTTCCGGCGTATAAGACGACTTTCTAGGCCACAAAAACCTTCTTAAAAGTTGGGGGTCGTCTTATACGCCGAGTCGTCTTATACGCTGGAAAATACGGGTATTCTATTTTATTCCTTTACACATGTGGTTTGGTATATTACTCATCAAGTTTTCTCTCCCCCCCCTCACTCAAAAAGAGTCCTTGATTGGTAGAGTGGCAGTGGGGAGAGCAATTAAACTCTAAGCTGTTTGTTTCAGCAATCCGTCCCCGCGGCTCACCTCTAGCAGGCTTGTGGTTTGCAGCTGCTTTTTGCTAACTTGAAGTCACAGGCTGGTAAATGCCTGTGGGTCTCAATCTGTCTCCTCGCTGCTTCGCACTTTCCGAGCTGGAGATCAGGGTGGGAGGGAAGGATTGGAGGGAGAGGGAGGAGGGAAAGGAGGCGTGTGTGTGTTGTGTGTGTGTGTGCACGCACGCTTCTCCTCGCTGCTTTCTGAGCTGGGAAGGATTGGAGGGAGAAAGGAGGCGTGTGTGCATGCGTGTGTGTGTGTGAGTGTGTGTGTGCGCATGCTTCTCCTCGCTGCTTTCTGAGCTGGGAAGGATTGGAGGGAGAGGGAAGAGGGAAAGGAGGCCACGCGCACGCACACACACGCTTTGCATTTTCCGAGCTGGAAATCGGGGTGGGAAGGAAGGATTGGAGGGAGAAAGGAGGCGTGTGCATGCGTGTGTGTGTGTGTTGTGTGTGTGTGCGCGCACGCTTCTCCTCGCTGCTTTCTGAGCTGGGAAGGATTGGAGGGAGAGGGAAGAGGGAAAGGAGCCACGCGCACGCACACACACGCTTTGCATTTTCCGAGCTGGAAATCGGGGTGGGAAGGAAGGATTGGAAGGAGAAAGGAGGCGTGTGTGCATGCGTGTGTGTGTGTGTGTTGTGTGTGTGTGCGCGCACGCTTCTCCTCGCTGCTTTCTGAGCTGGGAAGGATTGGAGGGAGAGGGAAGAGGGAAAGGAGGCCACGCGCACGCACACACACGCTTTGCATTTTCCGAGCTGGAAATCGGGGTGGGAAGGAAGGATTGGAAGGAGAAAGGAGGCGTGTGTGCATGCGTGTGTGTGTGTGTGTTGTGTGTGTGTGCGCGCATGCTTCTCCTCGCTGCTTTCTGAGCTGGGAAGGATTGGAGGGAGAGGGAAGAGGGAAAGGAGGCCACGCGCACGCACACACACGCTTTGCATTTTCCGAGCTGGAAATCGGGGAAGGAAGGATTGGAGGGAGAAAGGAGGCGTGTGTGCATGCGTGTGTTGTGTGTGTGTGCGCGCACGCTTCTCCTCGCTGCTTTCTGAGCTGGGAAGGATTGGAGGGAGAGGGAAGAGGGAAAGGAGGCCACGCGCACGCACACACACGCTTTGCATTTTCCGAGCTGGAAATCGGGGTGGGAAGGAAGGATTGGAGGGAGAAAGGAGGCGTGTGTGCATGCGTGTGTGTGTTGTGTGTGTGTGCGCACGCTTCTCCTCGCTGCTTTCTGAGCTGGGAAGGATTGGAGGGAGAGGGAAGAGGGAAAGGAGGCCATGCGCATGCACACACACGCTTTGCATTTTCCGAGCTGGAAATCGGGGTGGGAAGGAAGGATTGGAGGGAGAAAGGAGGTGTGTGTGCATGCGTGTGTGTGTGTGTGTGTTGTGTGTGTGTGCGCACGCTTCTCCTC